CCCCCCCCCCCCCCCCCCCGCCGTTTCCTTCGTTTTTTCGTGTTTTTTATACATTATTTCACGGGAATGGAGATCTGTCGATGAGGGCTTGGTTCGGTACTTTGGAACACAGTCCGCACAAGCTCTGTGCAAATCACCTCGATCATCCACCTGAAAGACACATGGCTATACCCTCAGACCAGTTAATCTACGTAGTATTGTATACGTTCTTCTTTTAGTAGACGAGCCGGGCGACGCTACACCGAGAGGTTCTGCAAGCCAAATCAAGTCGCCCCGATTCCCAGGTTATATGTTACCTCTATACTCTAGCCCTGTGTGTAACAACGAAAGAGAACAAATGCTCAAGCAGCATGGGAGGGTGTTGAACCAAGGAATAGAGCGGACAGACCTCAGATCTCAGATCTCAGGATCGCGATAAGGGGCAACAGAGAGGAGGCGCCAATACTGATGAAAGACTGTCTGATGAGAAGTTGTGTTGTGTGCAAAATGCGGGTTCAACGAAAAGAGGCATATATCAAAATCAAACGTTGAAGAAAGGGGGATTGGTTGAAAGCAAGGTTTGTCATATGTACAGTACATACATAGGAAGACCCTACTATTGTGTATGTGGCATGTGAGCAAGTAGGTTGGCATATTCGATCTAATGGTCCTAGTATATCTCGATTGTTTAAGGCATGTTCAAGGCATCATCCTTTCACTAAGTCTGACTGACTTCTGACTGAGTAGTAGCGAGATACGGCAATGTATCCATCTAGATGATGTGTAAAATGCAATCCTAGATTTACATGGTCTCATGGTCTCATGGTCTCCGGAGACCATGAAGGAGATGTGAAAGAAGAGTAGACATGAGATGGACTGAAGAATATGGGATGCAAGCGGACAATGAGATTAACGGTCCGTGAAATGTGACAGGCTAAGAGGAGGAGGGATGAATAAGGAAGAGGAAGATCAAAAGGGAGTAAAGTAAAACAGAGAGAAAATTTTTGAGAAGATGAAGATGCATGAGCAGGAAGGGAAGAGGAGCAGCTCATATAGATTTCCGGCAGACACGGACGATATTGACCCTGAGAGGTGAGATGACGAGCTGCATGTCGCGCCCTGTACTCACCATCCAATCTTTTACGAGGTTAAAAGTTCTACCAAGCAACCGTGACAGACCCACAAAAGTAGACAATAATTGTTTGTTTAAAAAAAAAAAAAAAAAAGACAGGGCAGAAGAAAGCAAACATCAAGAAACTAGGAAAAAGCAAGGGATAGACAACGGAACAACCCCGCTCCCCGGCCGCCTGGCACTGCTAAAACAATTGCTGTCGAGTGGCAGTAAGTTAGTACGATGTAGTGGGAAAAAAACACACTGCCCTCCGGTTTCAAACACCACAGCCCACCACCCAATTTCCGAAAAAAAAAATAAAATAAAATAAAAAAAGAATGAGAACCCGACTATAGAGAAGTAGAAGCGTGAGTAGAAGCTGGAAGCACAAAGAGTGATTAAAAAGGAGGTTTGTGGAGGTATGATAGCAAAGAAGAGACTCCAAGAGAAAGAGGGAGCGGGAGATTGGTGGGGGAGTGAATGAAAATGTTGCATCAAGGTACGGATGTGGTGATTGAATTGGACAGATGATGGGATGGAAAAGCCACGGGGGTGGAAAGACGGGTTTATTCAACTGGGGGTGTATCTGTTTGTGGAGTACGCCAAAGTCGTTGTTTAGAAGAGTACATAGTATTTATGTGCCTGAGCCTTTTGCCTAAAACCCAAATATCCTGCTAGCAAAAGAAGAACAGGAAAAAACAAAAGGAACTTTGTTCTTGCTTCCCTTCCTCTTGCCTCCTTAGTCTTTACAAGTCGTCTTCAAGGAATTTGTAGACGAATTTGAAGTCCGCTTTTCGCCGGTTCATCCTGTATAGTTCGAACATACATTGGTTACTATGTTTCCAAAAAAAAAGGAAAAAAAATAGGGGTGCTGGCGGTAAAGCGGAGGAAATGGGGAATAACTAAATAAATAAATGAATAAACAAATGTATAAAATAAAACCTACCATGTACTCTCATAATCAAAGAACCGATACGTCCCCTGTTCAAACTCCTCTGTAATCGTCTTTGGCTCCTCATGCCGCTGAAACCAGGTCTGGTACTGCTTATGGAACCGCCAGCTCTGATTCTTCAATGATTTCGCTGCCAGATACTGCTGGTAACTCGCCTGTCGATAATAGAAGATATAGAACAACGTGTCTGTATCGATGCGCCCCGTCTCGTATAATCGCGGGTCATCGAATATTGGCAGTACTTCTTGCGGGTAGTAAAGAGGCGTGTTGTAAGGTGTTTGCGGTTTGTAGTGGCGGGGTTTCTCTGCATCTCCGGGTTCTGGGCAGGTGTGGTGCGAGGCCGTTAGAAGCCGTTGGACAGACGTCGAAGGATTGACGGAGACTCTGGATTTGGTGATTTCGAAAGATTGGATTAGGTCTTGAAGGCCGGGGGGTAGGTGGTAGACGGATTCATCATTTGACGCTGGAGCTGGAGCACGGGCAAGAGCTGGAGCTGGAGCAGGGGTAGCATCTTCCTTGGGCTCGCCATTTGTTGTGGGCGCCGCATGCTCATCTGACGCCACGGGTTCCACATTATCCGTGGCCGGGGGTGGGGGGACCGTTGCAGGTCTACTCGTAGGAGCACTCGGTAACGTTGGCGATTTGGATTGCTGTTGGCTAGCGGAATCGTCCACACTGGGGGCTGCAGATGCGAGCCTCTGCACAGGTTGTACATGATGCACTTGCGGTGAGGCGGTTGAGGATGTTGTTCCCGGCGGTGGTGGTAAGGGAGCTATTCCCACACCACTTTTATCACTAGCTGCAGCCGCAGCTGCTGCAGAAGCATATTTCAGGGTCTCTCCTGGTAATCGCGTCGGTAGAGGGGCAGGCTTCATAGAACCTGAAGCCGTAGATGAGGGTCCGTTATGAAGTGTCGCCAAAACTGGGAGGGGCGACTTCATCTGCGTCGATGGCCTTCGTGCCGGCCCGGGTTCTGCTTTCGCCTTTGACCTCGCGGCTTCCGCATCATCATCCTGTATTGATTGTGTATCCTGAGATGAGACCCTGTCGTTATCAGTGGGCATACCAAACTCGTCATCTCCTAGCGTTATGTCGTCGTATATCGTTTCATCTTCCCCACAGAAGTCTGCATTGTGACCATCGTCCGCGAAATATTTGATGCTGTCTTTGATGTCCAGCACTTGGCTTGTCTCAACATTTCCATTTTGAAGACACCGCAGGAGTAGTTCCAGCTTTGTCACATGCCATCGGTGCCGCTCTAGAATCCTTGTAATATCAGACAACCGGGTAGTCTTTGCAGCATCCTTCTTTCCCTTCTTTAGCGACGCCTGTATCATCTCTTCCTCAGCCTCCATGGCCTCAATCTTCTGTTGTAGGATATCAACGGTCGACGATAGGAAGTCGCATGTTTCAGCCTTCTCTTTTTCCTTGGGGTCTAATCGAGCTGCTGCTGATAGACCTTCCTTCGAATAGGCCTTGGTTTTCATTTCCTTTTCAACGGCTTTGAATTGTTCCATGCACTATTATTCTCCAGTTAGCTAGGCCCCACAGAGATTCAACGGAGGCAGGTGGGGGAATGGAGGATAGAGCGGAGTCACGGCCAGAGACGGAGATGGATGGGGAAGCGCACAGTTTCAATGGCCCTCCGCTGCTCTAGTAAAGGGCCCTTGTCCTTGACTTCATTTCCTGCAGCCCATGTTTTAATCTGATCACGGAACCGTTGAAGCTTTTTGATTTCGCGTTTAAGGTTGTCTTCTAGCTTGTCTCTTTGTGCAGCGTTTGACGATGATTTTATCTTGTCGTATATGCCCTCGAACGATTGTATGCCTTCAGCGACCTTCTTGAAGGTCTTGTCGATTTCCTGCTGTGTTTTTCGCGACGTCATGATTGCTTCATAGACGGAGTTGTTTGCATTTAACCAGGTTAGTGGGAAAAGGGCGAGATTGGAGAGGCGGAAGGACGAACGGCGGAGATCGACCAGCCGATGCGAGTAGTGGGAGTGTAATCTGCGGCGTAGATATGAGACGGGGGACAATATATCGACGTACCAAGGTGGGTGAAGGGCGTGTGAACGGCGGGTGCAGAATGTGCAGAATGTGCAGAACCTGCTCAGTGGTGATCTGGACTGGGATTGATGGATTGCTTGATGGAATGAAGCCCGAGCTGGGAAGACGTGCCAAGAACATGCGCTCGCATTGGCGCTAAACAACAAACTCGCTCCGCCGCGGCCTCCACCGATTTACAATACATCGACGGGGAGGCAATGGACGTTTATCAGGGTTACTGTGTTTGGTATTCGATATTATTTTCTCCTGCTTATGGATTTAGAATGGTCTGGGGAATGGCGTCTTGTTGATTCCCGCCCCGTGGAGTCCCTAACGTTGTGTTTTTACCCCGAGATCTAGATATTCCATCATGAAAGGTAAAGCTTCCCCGCTCTATTTACATTAAAGCCCGGACTTCCAAGCCTAATAGCGATCCCGCTCTAGCTGTTCTACAACGAGTCACCTCTGCCTCAGTTACAGTCGATAAAACGCTTATTTCGTCCATTGGCAGAGGCCTTCTTGTGTTTGCCGCTGTCGGCCCGGATGATACCCAGAAAGATGCAGAGTCCCTTGCGGCAAAGGTTCTTAAGGTAAAGATCTGGCCCGATGAGGCGGGCGGTACGGTATGTTTCAATCCTAAGAGCTGCTCAGGCGGATTGGTTTTCACAGATCAAAAAGCTCTAACTAGCGATCTGAATACAGTGGAAGAAAAGCGTTCAAGATATACAAGGAGAAGTCCTATGCGGTACGCAAACCAGAGCACGCCAAATACCAGTAGAAAGGAATAAAGCCGGCGTGAACATTCTACTGATGAGGGAATGATGTTTTTTCGTCTGCTTTTCACGTTTTGATTTTGCAGTGTCCCAATTCACCCTCCTAGCCCAAATCAAAAAGGGCAACAAACCAGACTTCCATCACGCTGCGGACGCAACCAAAGCCAAGGAGTTGTACGATCACTTCTACAACAAAGTTGGAGAACTCTATAGTGTCGAACGCGTCAAGAACGGTGTCTTCCAGGCAATGATGGAAGTGGGGCTCGTCAACGATGGACCGGTCGGTGTGGATTTACCGCAGTGAGGGCGGCGCGGTATAGCGATAACGCTTTTTGCCGACCCCTCTGTTTCTGGGTTTTGAGGTCAAGGCTGACTTGGAAATATTGTTGCTGCGTAGGTTACGATTCAAATCGATACTGCATTACCTAAAAAGGAGCCTAAGAAACCCGGGGTTGGGAACGGGAACGGGAACGGGTTTGGGGATGGGGATGGGGATGGGAATGGCCAGTCGAGGGATCCAACTGCGCACCAACTGGAGCAAGGTGGCGCGGGGAAAAACTAGGATGTATGAGTGAAGAAGGATGTTATAGGTGCTAGGCTATATTCTATTTACTTTCACAGACAATATACAAGATCTATCTATCTATCCATCTATCTCGAGGATCCGATCTGGTGGGGAGTTTGCACTGTTTGACTGCGCATGGAAGCTTCTACAAGGCTCGCGCATTTCGACAAACAAGCAACAACAAAAACCGCCGCAAAACCCAACTTCCCTTTGTATTTCAGGCTTCACCTTGAATTGCTGTACTCTCACTCGTTATTGCTGTCTGCTATCTGTGAGTCTCCTTTCTACAGCTCCAACTTTTACATCCTCATCATGGCCGAAACTTCAGGTACTTGTCCTTTATTCCCGCCCCGCAATTTGTTTTGCCTGGCGGGGCTCCCCGCTTTCCCCCGGTGGGTTGCCAAAGTCACTGACAACGCCCCGAGTTGCAGGTCGCCCGCGAGTCTTCTTTGACATCCAAGTTGGAAAAAGGCCAGAGGGCCGCATTGTCTTTGAGCTGGTAAGTGTTTTTTGGAGTTCAATTGCAGCAACATGCCTCGAGGTGAGGAAGATCGGAGCTGACTTGCGCAAATCGCTAGTTTACTGATGGTATAACATGATTCCGATGACTCTCACTGCTTTCGATATATGACTACTAATTTTCGCTGTATGCAGTTGTCCCCAAAACTGCGGAGAACTTCCGCGCGCTCTGTACCGGCGAGAAGGGTGAAGGGAAGTCCGGGAAGCCGCTCTGCTATAAGGGTAAGTTCTCTCTCTCTCTCTCTCTCTCTCTCTCTCTCTTAGGAACAGAGATGCGCTTTCCTAGACATATGCATGGAAGACATTGGTCGGCAATATAGCTAAAAGGAATTTCACGTCTGATGCGTATATCAGGCTCTATTTTTCATCGTATCATCAAACAATTCATGATTCAAGGTGGTGATTTCACCGCATTCAATGGTACTGGCGGCGAATCGATCTACGGCGAGAAATTCCCAGATGAAAACTTCGAGCTCAAACATGACCGCCCTTTCCTGCTTTCTATGGCCAATTCTGGCCCCGGAACCAATGGGAGCCAGTTCTTCATCACCACCGTCCCCACTCCGCATCTAGATGGCAAGCATGTCGTATTCGGCGAAGTCATCAGCGGGAAAGGGCTTGTGCGCAAGATTGAAAAGGCCCCCACGGACTCAGGCGACAAGCCACACATGGAAGTCAAGGTTGTGGACTGTGGCCAACTGATTGGCGACGCCTACGAAACCGCTACCCAATCATCCGTTGACGAAACGGGCGACAAGTACGAGGACTACCCGGAAGATGCAGGGAAGGAATTTTCCGGGGAGGAGTATTACAAAATCGCCTGCGACCTGAAAGACTATGGCAACAAGGCTTTCAAGGCCGGCAACGTCGACCTGGGCCTGGACAAGTACCAAAAGGGCCTGCGCTACCTCAACGAATACCCGGAGACCTCGGATTCGGATCCGCCAGAACTTGCTGAGCAGATGGCCATGTTGCGATTCACATTGCACTCCAACTCAGCACTGCTAGCGAATAAACTCAAGCAGTTCGAGGATGGGCGCTCATGGGCGGGTTTCGCGCTTGAGAACGCCGCGGCCGCCAAGGCGAAGGACGCAGATAAGGCCAAGGCGTATTACCGGCGAGCTATGGCGTTGGTTGGATTGAAGGATGACGAGGAAGCGTTGAAGGATCTGGCGGAGGCGGCGAAGTTGGCGCCGGGAGATGCCGCAATTACGAATGAGACGGCGAGGGTCAAGAAGGCGATTGCGGATCAGCAACGGAAGGAGAAGGAGATGCTGAAGAAGTTTTTCAAGTGATGGTGAAGTGCAAATTGCGAGGGCGATGTGCTCATGCGAAAGAAGGGTGGGGAATTAGGTAAACTTGGGAATATCCATTGGGGCTCTAAGTGACAACGATTAACTATTTTATCTGCGCCGACAAGAAATAGAAAGAAAGAAAAGAGCAAGGGGTTGGAGAAGGGAATGGTAAGAAGAACGTAACTGAGTGTATTTTTTTGTTTTTTTTTTATATCGTTTTATCATTCTTCGAGTAGAACCCTGGCGTCTCTCAGCCTGCGTTAAATGTCTGTTTTATTTACCTATCTCCCTTTCTTCTCACTCTCGTCTTGTTTCGTTTAAATCTTGTGTCTGTGGAGGGTTTTTTTCTCGTTTGCTTGCTTGTTTGTTTGTTAGATGGTGATATAGGTTTTGATCCTCCTGGCGTGATTCGGCTCCTTTAAGTTAATCAACCACAGCACCATTTACAAACTTAACAACTATTTTATCCCAGCCAGATCCCACGCTGGATCTCTGCTCCTCCATGTATTCATTTAAGAGGCATGACTTCGCATTTGCAATACTTGCAGTTTCTTTAACCAACCCTGGTTCGAATCCGGTGTGCCAGCTAGCTACTGAGTAGCTAGCTAGCCTAAACCTAGCCCATACATAATGGAGGGTGATTGATTCAACCGTTGTCCACACTCGGCTTCTACTTCACAAACTGCTCAGAATTCTGGGAGCTCTGTCCATCCGTCCCGTATCCTCATTCAAAGAACAAGTGTGGCAGCTCGATGCGGCGGCAGGGTCTAATGTCCTCTAACATAGCTCAACAATTTCCAACAGGAGGGACGAAGGACGAGAGCACTGCTAGCCGGGATAGTGGTTAAGGGTGGTACATACATCCTGGCTCCCCATATAACTGGCCACGATTATCCAATCTCTACTGCTCCCTTGCAGGAATTGGATTTTGAAGCCTTTGTCGAAAACCATCCATTCCCCAGGGAAGAGAGTGTGCGAGAAATGATCCATTCCAGCGGACAACCCCTCTGCCCATATGGACTGGATTTGTCGGGTGTCATCGATTAACTTAACTGCACTCAGAGGATACATTAACTACTAAGGTGGAATCGCCTATCTGGAGCTAGTTACTATTTAAAGATTGGGCATGATTTGTGCTGCGTATCCGTCTGACAATCGCCATAGCAAAGATACCTGTGGGGCCTGCTTCCTTGGCCATTTCTGTTTACACCGCACTGAGAAGTGTCATTTGGGCTTGATCAACTTGCCGAGTTGGGCGGAATATCCACTATGTTGGTTTGCTCGCTGGCTCAGGTTGTTTCAGCTCTGCGTGATCCCGGATCATAAACGTCGAACCACGGAGACTTACTTCGTTAACGGTTTTGAAAGCTTCCTACCCCTGCTCCCAACTGATGGATAAAGAGTTTTTAAGCAGCCGAGGGTAGCTAGCTATGCCTCGGCCGCCGGTCTTTAAATACGCGGCAACCTTGTGGAGATTAGTTTGCTTGCTGCTGAGTGAGTGTTCAATTATTGATTCACGCCTCAAACTTGGAGAGCTGGTAAATCGAATACAGGCAAAGACTTATCTCCTATGCGTCCGCGACCGTATGAACAAGCACCTCTTCCGCTACCTCTTCCGCTTTCTCCGCCGTTTGTTCGATATCACATCCGCGACCTTGAGTGGTAGTTATTCAGTCTCTGTGGCCGTTCGAGGATTGGTCAAATTGCTGCATTCCATGAGCACGCTGCCAGAAATATGCTCTGTGAAATCACATATACTTGATCGTCGAATCCTGGAAGTTTCTCACACTTAATTTCTCTTATTCCATTCTCGATTTTCCGCTCGTGAGTCAGCAAGGCTGCCAAACTCTCGGACACACTCAGAAAGGGTAGGTGTCGTTCCTTTTCACGAAAAATGATACCTGCCGGGATGCTTCTGTCCTGCGCTGCTCTCTACCTCTGTTCGGTCTCAGCAAAGGCAACGCCCCTGGACTGCAAATGCGTAAGTAGGTCCGCAAACCAACGTTTACATGCTACGTACACCGCTTATCTAAACAACTCCTTTTAAGATGGCCCATGCTCATATCACATATAGGGCCCCGGCGACGCCTGCTGGCCGAGTCCCCGGGAATGGCAAGCCCTCAACAGCACCATTGACGGGAAACTCATTCGCGCCATCCCCCCGGCTTCGGTCTGTTATAAATCGCAGCCCACCTACGACGCAGCAGCCTGCAGCTCCATACTTGCCCAATGGCACACTTCTGGTTTCCACTTGCAGGATCCCATTAGTATTGATTTCCCAATGTGGGCGGGTGACTCGTGTCCACCTATCTTTGAGAATGGGACAAGTGTAAATGGTGACCCGACGGCGGGGAAGAAGGGATGTTCGATTGGTCGCCATCCGGTTTACGTAGTAAATGCTACAGGTCCGGAGGAGGTTGTCACAGCGGTGAAGTGGGCTGGGGAGCGGAACATTAGAGTGAATGTTAAAGCGACGGGGCATTCATTGACGGGGAGGTGAGTGTTGGACATGCCATTTATCATTTTTTTGTGGTCAGCTTTTGTTGACGCTACTAATTACTCGACTTTGCTGACCCCCGCTTTATTTTGTGAAGGAGCACTGCTGAAGGGAGTCTTTCGTAAGTTAACCGTCTCTTCCTTTTGTGGATTCTAAATGGGCCAAATACAAGTTGAGGCCTAACATATCGATTTACATCAAAACGTAGAATTTGGACACGAAACATACGTGGCATTAAATTCCACCCCAAGTTCCAAAGTGCATCGTGTCCCGGCGGCGAGAGTGGCAGACAGGCTCAAATGGCAGCCACGGTAGGAGCAGGGGAGATTGGCTATGATGTGATTCAAGAACTAGATAAATATGGAGCCACCGCTGTCACGGGCGGAAATAACGTACGGGATCCCCGTCCTGCAATACACACATAGGCCTTTATTAACCATGCCCGACTCAGTACGTAGGGCTCGTCGGATGGCTTACCGGCGGCGGCCATGGGCGCCTAAGCAGCTCCTATGGCATGGGCTCTGACAATCTGATTGAAGCCAACATCGTCACTCCGACCGGCAACTTCCTCACCGTCAATGCTTGCCAACATGCTGACCTCTTCTGGGCCATCCGTGGCGGTGGCGGCGGTACATATGGGATCATCACGTCGGTCATTATAAAGGCTTACCCCACACCGTCAACGACTGTGTGGAAAATTCAAGGTCAATTATTGGACAAATCCAAGGAGGACCAGTGGTGGGACCTCATGGCTTATTTCTATTCGCTCCTTCCATCTATGAAGCAGAAGGGACTTCAGGGATATTACCGCATGATAGGTCAGCCGTTTGCAGATACGCTGGTGTTTGTTGCCTCGTTTTTATTGTATGACAAACCTAATGGGACTGCTGAGGCGTTGTTCGAGCCGTTCAAGCAGAGACTTGATGAATTGATGCGTGCTAAGTCAGTGGCTTATTTGTCCGAAATCTTCACGGAGCCTTCATTCTTGAAAGGCTATGATCGCCTGGTGTCAGATGAACCCGTTGCGCATGTTGACTATGCGCTGGGAACCTGGCTGCTTCCTGCCCAGCCTATGGAGGATGTGGAAGTAATGGCCAAGATGTTCAAGGAGATTGGACCAAAGATCGGAGGCAACAGCGTGAGTTATTTTCCGTGGAGTACTTGATCCCCTGCTGCCTTTTCATTTACACCACTTAGCCTTATGAACTTCCGAATGAAAAGAGAACCACCCACTGACAGAAATCCACAGCCACTGTTCACCATTTTAAATAGCTGCTTCGTTGCGAACTCGGCCAACAGTGACCTGGAAACAGCTTTGCACCCCGCCTGGCGCAAAGCAGTCGTACATCTTATGGTCATCAGTGCTGCCACTAGTGGCGTTTCCCGTAAATCCATCCAAGAAGTTCGCGACGATATGACATATAACAAGATGCCCAACCTAAAGAGGATAGCCCCTGACTCTGCGGCATACTTTAATGAGGTGAGTTCATAGCCCATGCATGGCGCTTGTCAAAGCACTATTTTCAAGGTCTCTGTTTTTTCCACTTAACGCAATATATTTCTCCCGCCTAACAACACTGCGATAGATGGACCCATTCGACCCCGATTGGCAAAATGTGGCCTTTGGACCAAATTATAAGAAACTGAGAACCATAAAGAAGAAATATGACCCCGATGCGCTGCTTTGGTGCTTTTCGTGTGTGGGGAGTGAGGACTGGGTTGAAATTGAGGATGGTAGGCTCTGTCGAGCTTATGGCGGAATCTGTCCAGCTTTAACTCGAAATATTATTGAAAGATCGGTTTGTGCTGTGGAGGGATCTGGTGGGATGAATACCTTCAACTTATGAGATTTATTTGGAATTTTTAGGAGATCGTATCGAGCCGTTTATTTTCTTTGTTTCCCCTACTTTCTGCTTTTTCTTTTCCTTTCTTTTTTTATCTTCTAAAACAACATAAAATGAAGAATGTGGCGGAGGATTGGAGCCAAATCGGTTTTATATATTGGCAATTTTAGCCATGGTGAATTTCAAGTTGAGTAACTATGTATAAAACAACTACTCTCAACTACCCTTCCGCATCCTTTGTGTGGAAAACCACCCACTAGTCCAACAGATCAAATCATAAAAGTAAAAGAGATAAAGAAAGGGGGAAACATCCAAATCGGTCATTATTTCGTCGTCAGATGACCGGCTTCACACTGTTATCCAAACATTTACGGTGTGCACATAGAAACAACATAACAAACCCCATCACTTCCCTGACTCTGGTGCACATAAAGTTACTTGTTCATCTTATCACTCGTATATGCACAGGATCCCATATCCATCTTCACAACCTCAGACTCGGGGCGAATATCGAAATCAAAAATATCCATCGGCACCCCTAAGGTCGTGCACGCATTGGGAATATCCACCAACCCCGCAATATGCCCCTGGACAGGCGCACAGCTCAGCAACAGATAAATTTGGTAATCATCGTAGCCGTAACGGCGCAGATACTCAATCACTCGCAGACAGGTTTCGCGGTACGCAATCGTCGCATCCAAGTAGTGCTGCTTGCCGGTATGGTCGACGCTGAAGCCCTCGAAGGTCAGGTAGCGGCCGGGGCCGAACTGCGGCTCAACGGGCCCCGGATGGAAAATGGGAGACTTCATGCCCATGTGCGCCATGCCGCCTTTAATCACGTTGAACTTGATGGTGATTACGCCGGCCATCTCGATGGCGCCGCAGAAGGAGATTTCGCCATCGCCCTGCGAGAAGTGCAAGTCGCCGACGGAGAATTTGGCGCCGGGAACGTGCACTGGGAGATATACCTTGCTGCCGCGGCTGAGGTTTTTGATGTCGCAGTTCCCGCCGTGCTCGGGGCGGCCCTATATGATTGTCTTTTTGTTGGTACCGCGGTGCGTACACTCTTACACATTTCTGGGTTTAGTACATTACTTACGGGAATAGTTCTCGCTCCCTCCCTTCCGACCTTCGCCTTGATATCGCCACCGGCACTGCCTGCGTGGACATTAACGGGCTCGGGCGGCTTCGCGACAACCCTATCCAAGTGGGCATGGGTAGTGACAAGTTCACCTTCGCGTCGATTCCACTCAGCGAGGACCTCAGCAGAAGGCGCACAGCCTAGGATTCCCGGGTGAATCAATCCCGCAAAGCGGACGTGTGGAATGTGGCGGGATGAGCAGAAGATGCCTTCAAAATCCCATATAGCTTTTGCTCTGTAACGATTTTTTAACATCGAGTTCCAAAGGTTTCCAAAAGGGGTTTGGCTTTTTAAATTTTACTTACGCATGGGGATAGTGCTCATCCAAGAAACCACCGCCATTTTTCGCGTCGAAAACGCCCGTGAATCCCCACGGCTGGTCTTGGAATGGCTGTACGTCTTGGATTTCAACGAGCAGCACATCACCTGGCTGGGCGGTTTCGATCTCGAAGGGCCCTGTCAGATAATGCACACGGGTTAAGTCAATGTCGCGCATGTCATCGGCGCAATCATCGTTCTTAATCTGTCCTCCAGTCCAGTCGACGCATTCGATCTTGACGACTTCGCCATTCTTGACTGTCGCGCATGAGGGAACTGTGTTGTGGAGGCCAGGTTAGCTTCGCTACCAACATGTTCCTGGAGCGTGTGAGACTTGTGAATAGGCCTAAGACTCACTGTCTGGATGCCAGCGATTCTATGCGAAAGATATCATCCAAAATGTTAGTTAGACAACGTGGTGATAAGGGCGTATTAGCCCGATGCTGGTTGATATATGGGTCGATGACATACATGTAAACCATTCTGTTCTCCCGCAGGTTTGTTCCGATCGACCTTCATGGCCGTGCGAATGCCTGTAAGACCCATGGCTGCAAAGTAAACTTGACCTATTGGCTAAAAGGTGTAGTAAATAGTAAAGAGCAATGCAGCCTGATCAAAAAGGGGCGTGTTTAAGACAGATATAGCCCCGTGGAGTGATAAGAGGAAACACCTGTGAGGAGATACCAGAATACGCGATTTCCCCCAAAAGCCAAAAGCTGCTGCTGCGGGGTTCCCAGACTCTTATATATGCCTGTCGGCTTCGATTTTTGGTAGCAACTCCGCGAGTATACGAACGGAAGCGGTTCAGGGATCTCTGCCTTGGATATCAAAAGTTCCGCAATCCCCGCATCGGGAACATGGAGGTTCAAAGTTACAAGTTCGTACGGCAATGATTCGTCTGTTTTCTCGGCAATTATGGCGGTAAAAAGCTCCATGCCGGGTTTCGTATATGTCTGGCCTTTGGAGGCCTTGGATTTGAACGGCCTGTTAGTTCAAGTTGTTGTGGAGTTGCAGTTGTTGTTGTCACCAAAGCCTGATACGCTGAGAATAAAGACATTGTCGATACCGGGGATGGCGTGAACATAAACAGAACAAGCCCGATACTTGGTACTTCTACAGCAATTCGTTTCTGGCAGTTAACTGCCTGTCATGATCCGACCGAGAGTTGATGGTGCCTTGGGTCGCCAGCACCTTAACGGACCCTGAAACTTCACAGCCCTGATATTGGAGCCCCTAGCTAAAGTTTCGGCTCTTGATTCCCCCCCACAACGACGTCAAAATGCGGGGAAACCATGAATTAGCTTGGTAAGACCGTGTTAAACCTGCGAGTTCCATGGGGTAGAAAGTTGAGCGTGGATTAGAAATGGGCCGTGAGGTTAACAATCCGTAAAGATCCATCGACTGAGCCATTCAGTCATTTCCCTGCGTTTGAAGCTTAACGAACCCCTCATCCAACCCCCCCTTCACCACCCAACCGCCAGCTGGATGGGGAGAGGGCGTTTCGTTACCTGGCGTCATAGGTCTCTTATCACCGACCATGGGGTGGCGGTTCCGGAAGCACTGGGCTCAAAACAAGACCCAAACACCACAGCAGAAATAGGTTTGTTGAAAAATGCTGACTCTCTGACAAGGACTGGATGTCCAATTCATCCACTCTCTTAAATCTACATTCAGCCGAACGAACCAGTTTCTATACTAGTATACAGATCGTTTCTCGGCCTGCCCGTTTGGGAGGTTAGTTAGCCCTAGCCCTAACGTGATCACCCAACGATCGCGGTTTTACATACTAAATGAAGAATGCTTCGATACATACATCTCAACAATAATCCTATCAAATTTATATATAATATGTAATTTATATATGCATATCTACATAGTAGATTATAGAGTTTCTAGATATTAAAAATCTATATTATGTGCTGAGTTATAGACTATATTAGAAGTTGATTTTCTCAGTAAATTACACATATAAATTATATGTGATGTATTCAGATTATTGCATTTTTTATCATTAACATAACTATACAGGATTTTTTAATATACATTTAATCACTATTAGACAACTATATAGTTAGCTTAAATTCTGATATATATATAAAAATACTAAATATTAAGAGAGTTATTTAAATATTACAAAAACTATCATTTTTCTCATATAAAGGTGGAAAATACAACTAGGAATTCAAAAACACCTCATATAAATTTATATGAAGAAATATTTAGAACATTTACATATGTCATATACAATGATTAATGTATTTTTTTATATTCTTAATTCGTTTTAATAGTTAAATTTGATAGCAGATTATAAATTACCAATAAAAAATTAAATGTAATTAAAAATGATTGATATATGAGGTGGATAGTTTTGACAATGATCGTTAGGCGGGTGATCACGCTAACCCTAACAACATGCCCAGAATCAAGTCAACCCTCGAAGGCTGTTTGCTATCGCGAACACCGAGGGATGGAAGATCTAACAGTGTTAATTCGTCCAAACAAGTTGTGAGAATAGCTCCCCATGAGGAGGGGCCTGGCCAACTCCGTCTAACCGCCCTCCAGCCGTGACAGCAACTGGCAGTGGGTTCTCCAAGTTTTCTAGAAGACGCTGCTCGGTTCAATAGCAGCCACAAGAGGGACCGTTTGAAACTACTAGCCTTGCAACCGACACGCCCCCATCTGGCTGGAAGCCAAGGAGAAATTAGGCAACCCTACTTCTTGGTTGAATCGATATAGAAGGACTTCAGAACGCGAAACGAGGGGAAGTGCCAAAAGAAAATGCCTCTCAGCATAAGCGACCTGCCCGCAGAGGTGTTACTCCAAATTGCTCTGGATATCAGACGCCCAATTCATCGGTTACACCTTGCTTTGTGCTCTCATGCCTTCTCTGACATATTTCTTCCCATTGTTTTCCATGATATCCAGCTGAACGATCCCCATGCCAAGATCCTCATTCCTCTCGTCCAGACGCTTCTCCGCAACCCGCACTTCGCATCATGTACTCAAACTCTTGGGATACACGAATGGTCGACGGAACTCAATTATGAGGGCAATAGCTATGATCCACCAGAAACCCTTCCGTTGCCCAATTCGGAGTTGGTCTTTGACCAAGACCTTACCCACGACGCCGTCCAACGACTTTTCGCTGCCAGCGACGAGCGTGCGTTATCCAAATTCATGGCTCATCTTTCCGCTGCAAATGAAGATGCATGGATCGGCTTGCTGCTATTCTCTCTCCCTAACTTGAAGGAATTAATCATGTCTGTGCCATATGGCTGTTTTTTCCCACGCATACTAGCCGAACGTGTGGCGATAAGGTTCCCACCATTTGATTCCCAACCAGCATTGACCCGCCTTTCCCATGTGTTCGCCAAATGGTATGATAGCGAGAACTCGCTGGAATCTGCAGTACTAGAGCCCTTCTTTTTCTTCCCATCTATGGGCAAGGTTTCTGGCGAACAAATTTCACATTGCTCACCAGAAGAAGAAGAAGAAGCAGATGCATTTGAAGAGCTTAAAATTGTTGACAACGGGCGCATTGCATATTCAAAAGACAAACCCACGACTTCCACCGTGACTGAAATAGACATGTCGAGAAGCAGTACCAATAATGGCATGATTGACCAAATTAAAGTGTGCAAGAACCTCAGATCATTCAGATTCGAGCATGCCGACTCCTTTGAATATGGCTCTAGTTTCCTACCAAAAGACTTCGCCCGCTCCCTCACACATGTCAGACACAGTCTCGAAAGTCTCTGGCTCAGCTATGATGACTATTATTCCAATGGTCAGATTTACCAGGCAGACGACGAGACTTTCGGTTCCATGGATGACTACCCCGTCCTGAAATCAGTGTACATATCAGCGGAACATCTTATAGGGAGTGACGTGCTGCTCAACTCAGACAACAACAACCATTCGAACCTGGAAAATAGTCAACGGCTGGCACGTATGCTCCCCGCTTCGATCCAGTCGCTTACACTAGCCAATGTTTCCAAACGCCACTACCTCGGTGTCCTCAAACAGTTGAAGAATTTAGTTGAGCCGCTCAACCTCTCGCAATATACACCCCGACTCAGTGTTTTAAAAATTCAAGGGGTTTTCTCCCGAATCTACGAGCCGAATCAGCCCGGCATTACGGTGACGTTAGATGGGCCGGGGCCGGTTATCCCTCCAGAAATTCTGGACCCCGCTGAAGCGCTGCGGGATTTATGTGCAGGAGTTGGGATTGGGTTTGAATTGGTTGATACGCATACTCTTTGGTTCAGAGGATTGGGGAAGACGTGGAATGGGTGAAATGCCAGGCTGGTCTTGGCTAGGAGCCAACATCCCCGGACATTATTTTTTTTTTGGTGGTCTGCTCCCACTATCATTAGCCACTTTCAACTGTACAGATCGTGATTGTTGTATTGTTGTATTGTTGTATTTATTTTTAAATTATATATAAATATATATTAACTCTCCACCTTTTCTGAAATGTGAATAGTCGATCCCATCGAATTTCAGATCGGAAAAATTATGTAGATACAAATATATGAAAAAGCTGCGCAGTTGATATGTAGGTGACAAAGAAAGCTATAAAGCGCGAGTGTGATTTCTGATTGCCATGATACTTCGTCGCTCAGACACAAGCAAAGAAAAAGATAAGAAGGTTGCCCCAAGCCAGACAAAGGCAAGAAGCCATCAAAAAAGTTAGTATTAGCCCCCCAACTGATCGGCAGGAACACCAACACCCTTCCTCGCAGACACACACGAAAACCGAATCGGCCTTTTTACCTTCGCCACATCCTCCAGTTGTTCCAACGGCTTATTTGATCCGTCCCTCTCCCTCGTCTCCGGAATCAGCCACTTTGTAACCGCAGCCCCAAGTAACATAAACGCCGCGAATATAATAATCACATACCCCAGCCATTCCGAACCGGGATCCGAAGATCGGTACGGCCCAATGGGTGAGTATGCAACGAACGCCTGCACGACCACGGACGCAATCTTGCCCGCTGCGGCGGAGATGCCGTGTGCAGTGCAGCGGAAGCGGGTGGGGAAAAGCTCAGCGGGGATCATGAAGGTGGTGAAATTTGGGCCAATCTCGAAGAATATCTGGCTGAGGACGTATAGGAAAGCGATAAGTGGGACGGACGCGTGACGGCTCACTGTTTCGAAACTGATGCCGATGGCGATGAGGATGGCTGTTAGGACCAGGAAGCCGAAGAGCTGTATTGTGCGTGGGGAGATGCGTTTTGTCAGCTTGATCATGCCCAGGCCGCCGATCATGGAGCCGATGGAGACGATTATTAGCGAGTGCCACGAGTTTTCGACGAGGTCGGTGTAGATGCTACGAGTTGGGAGAGGAAGAGGAGGCCCCCCAGGTTCTCGCGTGAATTTCAGGGGTTTTTCGTTGAAGATTTTAGAGATTACTTTGTAGGAATTCGGGCCAAGCGCATAGTAGGCGAAATCGAAGCAAGCCCAGGAAAGGGACGTGCCAAGTAAAGTGGGCCAATGCCCTTTTGTGAAGAAGTGTTCTACAAAACCAGTGTAGAATCTTTCCCACTCGCTTGGTTTCTCCTCGCCAATTTCCGAATCGTCATCGCCCTCTGCAGGTCGGCTATCGGGCTCATCAATTGTGGTGATAGAACTTGCTCCTGAGATGGGGGGAGGAACATTCGGACTGGGTAATGATCCACTGCGCGCATTTCCGCCAAGGTCGCCGAGAATCTGGTGTTCGGCCATTTCAGAGACGTTAGAACAACTTTTATTCTTGTTATTATTGGCGGCTTCTTGGTTTGTTGTTTGCTTCGAGACCCCCGCCAAGGTCGTACCGGGGATATTTCCGGCAAGATTTCTTGAGTCTGAAGTTTGCAGCTCAAGATCGAATGCACGGTGAGGAGTACGGACTGCTCGTTTCCACCCCATTTCATTAACATCTTCTAGTGCCTCGTCTGGACGATTCAGAACTTCCATTGTATATCTGGGAGACTCGGGGATGCTAATTCGGAAAAGTATGGCGATCGCTGCCGGTATGGCTCCCGCCCCTATCACCCAGCGCCAGATCCTATCTATTGTCCGTCGACATAATTCGTCATCGGTACATGATATGATGCTGTCAACATCTGTAGGTATATTGGTCGGGAGTCCATTCTTGTTCGCCAAGGTAGCAAAAAGAGCGACTAACGTGGCAACTAGATATCCGCACGGCTGCATGAAGAAAACAGTGGCAATCATCCGAGCACGAGACTTAGTAGGAGCGAACTCAGACGTTATCACTGCGCTCAGAGGATAGTCCCCACCAATCCCAATCCCCATTAGGAATCTCCAGGATATCAACCATCCAACAAGATTCATTGATTTCGACGCGCCATCCGAAGCCATTGTCACTCCGACTGTCGCGACGATAACAACGAGCAGTTCAAGCCCGTACATTTTGCGCCGACCATAAAGGTCCGCCAGAACACCGAATGCATATTGGCCAATAATGGTTCCAACGAGGGTGGCAGCGCGCATTGCAGTTTCGATTGTTGCGGGCATCGCTCCATGCCAGTAGACATGAGAAAGCATGGGGATTATGATCCCCACTGCGAAAATCTGTCAAGTGGTTATGAAGTGTCAGTTATTTACTGTTGCTGGACGAATGTATTCCAGTTGGCATCACATACATCATATCCATCCGTGAAAAAGCCTACACCGGCAACGAACACAACCAGACCCTGAAAGTGGGTGGCATCAAGCTCGTCAAAAACTCGACGGCGTCTGAGATGAAGGTCCTATCAGAATTAATGTATTAATTGAGCCCAAATAATAGCTTTCTGGTTCAGTCACACACCGGAATATGATTAAAGTTAACTGTACGATTCTTGACCTGGAAACCGATAGGGAATTTCATCACTGGCAATTATGTCTTCAAGAATAGGATTTTAAGATGACCGCAAGTCCATCGAAAGGAGCGTGCGGAGCTAAAGTACATCGGGAAGGATTCATAGCGAAAAGCTATTCTTCGGTCGAAGAGGGCGCGAGCGGGTCTTATTCTTGCATGGAGCTATTAGATATAGCTGCCACAAACGTGTATCAGGGAGCCCGGTGTAAAACCGAGCCGTTTGGCCAAGGTTGAATGTTCCAGAGTATATCTCATCTGGGATGCCTATGGGGGAAGTTCGGTTTCATGGTGTCAGATGGTAAAGGTGAGAGAAGTCTAAGCCCCAAACCTCAACAGAACTGGGAGAATTAGGCAAATTTCCACCTCCGTATGATCTTAAAAAAATTCAAAAATAGGAGGGTGTCGAAGCACTAAACATTGGGAACTGTCAGGATTTCTAGGCCCATACAGAGGGCCAGAAACAACCACGAGGTTGCAAGGGTCAAGGCTAAAAACGCCACATGAGAGGATCCCTGAACTTGTCAAGTATTCCTTGGCATGGGGCGCACGGCAAACAGGGCATGGATAAAATCCTGGAGATCTATGGGGAATGTCGAAATATCAGCTTCACAAGTACGGAGTAGTATAGGACTCAAACACTTTTGTTTTTTTTTTTGTCTCAGGATTAAGCTGTGGACGGTTACTTACCTGCAGGAGATGTAAATGTAATTTTCAAATTCTGCATTGGAGAGAGAAGCTTTAGCTCAAGAACATTGTTTCGTGATGAAATTTTGTAGGTGGCCATAATTTCTTTTTCTAAAACAAAGGTCAGCGAGAGAACCTTGGTTCTTCATGATTCTCACCAACGGGATTAAATACCGTCAATTTCGATATACTTCCTATGGGACCTCGCAGTAGCGAAATAAAGCAGAGATCGAGGATGTCCAGGTGACGCAGATTCCCATAGTCGGATGTACTGTCGGTCTGATTCCTTTCCCTGAGCGGAGGACATCTTTTGTATAACAGTAGCTAAAATCAATTTCCTGCCATAGACCAAGCTCTGGAATCCGAAGTGATCTACCAAGAAAAAAAAAAAAAAATTGAGATGTCAGTCAATATGGAATGAATTACAAAGTCGATCACAGTATCAAGCAGACCTTTTTGGTTCTCAAAGAAATACTGAACTCTTGCTTCTCCCCGCTTCATAGCTGGAGGTTTAACGAAGTAAACGCGAAGAGCTTCTTCAGGGTCATCCCGTGGACCTGGCGGCTCCGTGTGGGGGATCGGCCGTTTCTCGGCTGATGATACTAGTAATCATTTCAGTCCCTGTTCCTATACTGATCGGACTCAGATAGTGTTACCCGAACATTTTATGATGGGGAGTTCTCGCAGGGGATCCTGGAGATCAACTGCTTTAATAGCGTACAAACGGCCATCGCTGCGGTGGCCTGTTTCGAGTGTACAGTAGACTGGGGAGGTACAGTTATCCCAAAGACTACCGAATGGAAATGGAATTAGTTAATCGCCGTAGCAAGGGTAATTGGACAACATACACTTTCACCCAACCATCTAGCTTTACAGGTTTCCAATTTCTTTGCCCCCCCGATTCGTTGAATGACGCAAAACTAGGACGATGCGATAGTTCCGTTTCACTCGATGGCGAAATAGGAGAGGTCGGCTGGAGCTTATGTTCGTATTTCCATTTTTCTTGACGGGTAGTGGATGAGGGCCTGCGTTTCATGGGCGGGACATTAGAGTTAACCATCAAAGGATCTATGCTGTCAACAGTGCTTGTAGTTGCAGTTCGCGAAGGCGGGTTAAATGAAAATACCGAAGGCAAGGGTGACACTGATCGAGTTGCTGTAGAGGTTGTTGATCCAGTTTCAAACCGATATCCGCTTTCCTCATATAGGGGAGGAAGTGGACTTGTTGATTCATAGTAGCACACGTCGTTTTCTGTAGAAGCCCTTTTCAAGGAAGACTCAATAGTACTTCGGGAAAGTAGAGCCTTATTGAGTTCAAAGTGGGAAGGCCATGATCCATTTCTCTGTTGAGCCGACAAGTTTGCCTTTCGTTCTATAGCGTTGAGGACCCTTCGGTGGAAAAGATCAAGCTGGTCGCATATGGCTTCCCACTCCTCGTCCTCACCAGCCTCCGCACGGCTTCTTTCCAACATGGCAAATTCCCTCTGACGTTCGACGGCTGCCAGAATTGCGTGATATCTGTCGGTCGCGTAGGTGATACCTGTGTCGATCGGGAATGAAAAGGAAACGCCCCGATCCAAGTGTGCTGGCAGGTTGCTTGGCATTGGCATTGTCTCTGTACGCAACTCCGCAATCATCTTTTCCATGCTCGTCAATCGATTTTTGATGCCAACTGTTTTCTCCCTAAACACTTGTCAGAATCTCAAATCTCCAAGAAGCCCGCGGCAAATAACACAGCCCGAACCTTTCGAGTACAGTGAGATATAATCCCAGTGATCGCTTATGCCGCTCGATTCTTTCCTGCAAAGCTATAATATCCTTCTCTCCCCACGCCAAGTGCCTGACAACCTCCCCTCCTATGCGAGTCGCATTTTTGGATTTCTCCAAGATCTCCCTTGATCTGCGAATACTCAATCGCGGTCTGCGTGATTGAAGATGATCGTTTCCTGAAAACTGCTGTTGTAAAGCCGAATACTTTTCTAGGTGTTCTCGGCATTCTTTTAACGTATTTTCCACCCCGCGGAGCTCGATACAAGAGACTTCGTCCGTCTCTTCGAGAGCATGTTGGAAACGTCTTAGTAAATCCTCAAATTCCAGAACGTCTTCCTGAAGCCCGATGATAGCCTGCGCGGCGCTTGTGGGCCCGTGTCGGCAATTGACGACGATATAATGGCATATTTCGACCAGCTTGAAGACATCTGAAGGAGAAAACCCAAAACTCATGACGAACCAGCTATTATTCCCTCTGGGTTAACTTCACAAAAGAAACCCAAACAACTGGCGAGGTGGCTCATACGTCACACTGAATCTGCGCTGCAATATGATAATCAGGAAGACGAGCGATCCACCGGCTGCGCATAGCTTTGGTGATACCTGCTGAAATCGAAGATGGTTAACAGGTCGAAACAAGTTGTGCCGGATTAGGAGTTTGGTATCTCCTAATACCATACTCTATATCCCTTGACGAAACAAATGGCGATACCTGCGAGTATTGATGCGTTTTGGTCATCGAGCATGCAGCTCTTCCATCATTCTGAACAGAAAGCCGCTGCTCGGTTGACATGCCTGACGTGATAACCTCTCAGGGACTGCCAAGCCAAACAAAGGAGACCATCTGTCAGCTTTCGAATATTCCGTCAGCGGGTCAAGAGCAAATGAACCCGGGCGCATATGAGGCTTGCTCGTGGAAGTCAGGAGTTCGGGAAAAGTTTTCCCTAGAGCACAAATAATGTATATGACGTTTCCCTTTCTTGCCCCAGACCAAGTTGAGCATGCCTTATTCTTTCGTGGCCACCTCCAACCAGGCTGTACCAACAAGACAGGCGGAGAGGATCAGAACCCTCCACAGGTCAAAGACATAGCATGGCGGCATCACTGCTCTCTAGTTCCTTGAGCATTCAGGGGCGGAAGAGATGATGAATTTGTGGAGTGGTTCACGGCGGATAGGAAAATGGCGGCGGCGCACGTTTCCAATCCATTGGACGGGATAGCTATGCATAATCTGCAGCCTAAGGTGCAATGCTTTGACCTTGTCCTGCAGCCTGCAGGACCTCCACGTTAGTTCAAAATAGGTTGTGGTGGTAGACGTTTGGGGGTTTGTGGCACAAGGCTTCTGTGTTGAATTGAAATAACTCCGATACAATCAATCCAGCAATATTTGACCGCATACTCCTCAAGAAAACAAGGGGGATTAATTGTAACTTTAAAGACGTTGAAAGTAAAGACGAAAAAAATAAATCAAAAAAGAAATAAAAGAAAAAAGAAAAAAAAAACATAGCCGAACGCGGGGGTCGAACCCGCAGCCTTGCGGTCACATGAGGGTGACATAAGAGCCGCACGCTCTACCGATTGAGCTAGCCCGGCGCTTGATGTTGCAGCCGTGTGGCCCCGTGGATCAATATCTCCGCTTGCCATTCGCGATCATTCATTCGGACCTGCAATTTTCGACGACATCCCATCCATCCAAAGAATCAGCCAACTGATGCTAGGACGAAACTAGTTGGGAACACAGGACCTCTTGTTGAAGCCCCAAGGCCCGATGTAGCCTTGAGGTTGGAATATCGCTGATGGCAGCCCGCAGTCCGCAGTCCGCCAACCGTGTTGAGGGGTTGACAGATGGAGGCGGCATCAGCGTCACCAATCTTCCCCGAATGGCACCTCAACCAGCGGAAATGGAAATTCAATATCTTGCTCAATTAGCCTGGATGGAAAAGTGACTGAAGAATACAACTATCGCCAGCCCTGAAAATGATTCCGAAAGAGAGGAACCTGGCCAACGCCTGCCAAAATCCGGCATGGAATTTCGTGGTCCCCCATTCAAACAAAGATTATAATTATAAAATATGAATCAACCATAACCGGGGGAAGTGCCAGGACACATTTCCAGTTACATAGACCTCGAGGAATTGGGAGAAGTGAAGCAGTGTTTTAGAAGCTAGCCTTCTAAAAACCTTTTTTTGTTGTCCAAACTCCTATCCGTTTTCAACCCCAATTCTTATAGCATCCAGCGGTGGTCAGTTGCGTCTTCGTTCCGAAGAAGCTGAAGGAAACTAGACGCAGGATCCATGAAAGATATCTGCTTATAGTAAATATTCAGACTGGTAGTCGGAAAACCAATGGCCGTTCCAACTATCGGGCCATTAAATGGAGATATAAGTTACCGGACAAGAGTTCCCCGGCATTCCAGATATTGCAGGACCAGAAGGGCCCACGTTGTCGCACCTCAACAATATACAGCGCCAGGCGATAAATATTGGCAAGCCCCACCACAATCAATCATTGTGCCTTTTTGTGGCAGAAGAGTAGTGGGGGTTTGCCAATGCTTATAGCCTAGTACAGTATGTTGATAACTGCTGGCCCCAGCCTGTTTCCTGCAATTCGCTAACACTATCCTCCCGACTCGATGAATTTGTGACTGCCTTTGTTGATGGCCGTCTCCTGAAACCTGAGGATTGGATGTATTAAAGACCACTATATCCAGATGCCAATTCCATGTGTGACCAGGACAAAATATATGGCTGAACGAATCGAAGCCGGTTCAGAGAAGACTTTTATGATTATACCCTCAAAAGCCCAGCTGCCACAGTGGCTTTTGTACGACTAAATCCTCTGTATACTGTTTATCGAGCCTCTTAGCACCCATCCTTTATGACAAGCTAACCGGTTATATGTTTCCTGACTACGCGTGCGCACTGTCAGCTGTCCACAAGCATTTGGATTTTCTATCCCTATCATGAACAACGCAAGAAAACAGGCTTTAGCTACCTACCAAACCTAGGCTGACAGGCGGACAGAAATTGTTAACGCACCCAGAAAGCTACAAACCGTTTCCGCATGTTGATAATTATTTGGACGACTGAGTCGAGCGGCTTTTGCTAAATGGACTACGCCACCGGAATCTTACCCAATTCCCCGACGCGGGGATGTCCCCGCTCTTGACGACACGAGGAGACGTGCCAGGATCTCTTCCCGCAACCATTCCCTTCGCCGGACGGACTGGAGGTGTCGGGCTAGCCCGAAAACCATGGATTGAAAGCGCTACCAGAGATTGAACGGCAATTATGAGGAAGCCTGAGTGTTTGCGGAGCTAAGAATAGAGAAGACACCGGGGTGGCGGAGACGTCAAGCTAGTAAACATCGACATGAAGGGGACCTCGGGATGGGAGCTAGAATATTGTTTCTCTCAAAAAAAAGTCAGGAATTTTACCCCAGCTGGAACACTGTCAGAAGAATATGACCCCCCTTGAGGTGATGATGCAAGCGAGAACGCATGCCAATTGAAGCCGCTATCGAACCTGAGATTCGCCCCATATATTATCCGGAGTTTCGACAAGCATGCTGTTGTCTGATTGGAATCAGGAATAGGGAGAAGCACTGGTGATTGATTTATGGCGCAAAAGGGCGGAAGTTGCAAAAGAGCTTGGGAGCCCGGCCCCCTGGAGGAATGCTGCAGGTACTCTGTATCAAATGGAGTGCGTCTCACGCATATTTAGCATGGTATCCGGTTGGAGATACGTTGATTCTCCCCGCTTATTTCCGGGACTTCCACCAAGAGAACCCGACGGCGGAGCATAAATTTCTGCAATAATAAGACCGGGAAGTAAATGGCTAGTTACGGGGTTTCTTCGGTTACAGTGAGAAGATAGTAGGAAGAGTTAAAAATCAGAGTTCCATGCCTATCTCCGCATATTTTAGGGAAAGCACCCTGGCTTCTCTTTGCTCAACCCGTTTTGCCAAGTGAGGCATTCGAAGGCCGCAGCTGCGAATGCAAGCCCTCCCCCCTCCCCTCAAGCACCCCACAATGCACACTGCGTAATCGAGATAGTATGTGCAGTCGTGTGATCAAATTCCCCGAACAGCCACCCATTCAGCATGCCACCATAACGGAAAATCTTGGCTTAGCAGATGCTTATTGAAATAAGAAGCAAAGATGATTGCCATCGACCCCACAGCGAGAATTCACAAACATAACGAAGCAAGACTAACAACATGTTAGATTCGGTGGAATGGATACAGGAGTTGAGAGAGCGGAATCACACAAAGTACTCCGCAAGTAATGTTATTTGTGGGCTTTTATTCCCTCTCCCATTGCCATAGCATTCAGTTCTAACGGAGCCAGTCTTACTAGGTTGGTTAATCTCTTCCTGGACATTTTCATTTGCGCTTGCAAAGTTAAAATCGACTAACTAATCAATCCAGCCCTAAAGTATTTTAAGTCATTTTATTGATGTCGTGTTAAACAACAAACTCAATTTGAATAATTGACCTCTCTGATATTCAAATTAACATTGCATAGATCCACTAGCGTTTCAAGCCTGAATGACTGTGATCGATATTTAGGCAATTCTACATGACTTTACTAATTGGAGTCTTAAACTCCGCACTACAAACCTCCATATCCTCCATACTCTTCACCCATTCATTCCCCGTCTATCGCTCGTTACCTACTAGGAAACCAGAGTTGATCCCAACAGAGACTGGAATGGTTTTGCTCATTTAATCAACATTTCCGATTATCCGATAAGCAAGGATGAATGACAAGGGAGAGTCGCAAGGTGAAATCCCCCAAATCAACTCTGCAGAACCCTGACTCCAAATTCAGCTAATTTACTCCCTAGTTTCCTGCTGTCATCGCAGCTTGTTCTTGGGTGTGATCGCGCTTCTCCAGGGCAAGATCTTTCCCTTTGTCGATGTCTTCAATCCGGTTGCCTCCTCCTCCCTCCATCGTGGTTGAATTCATTTGATTTCATCCTCTTTAGCCCAATGGTCTTTTCTGGGTGGGCATGCGAAGCGGCATGCGCTAAAAGCACTTCCTCTTGAAACCAGGAGTTTTCCCACCCCCATCCCGCCAGCTCATTCTACGTTTTGCCAAGCCCATTGCCGTTCCAATTCATTTCTATTTGTATAATGTAGAGATATAGAGGGAAGTTTGAACAGGAATTTCTCTTGGAAGTCCTCAGCCAGCTCCTTTTCTATCTGCCTGAGGCAATTGCAGACATTCTGTTTCAGCCAAAAAAAAAAAAAAAAAAAAAAAAAAAAAACCAGCTTAATCCACTTCTGCCTCCGAACTGAACAGGAGTTAAGCTTCTGCATCTACTTGTGCAGAAACTTCTAGGGTTTTGGAGATGGTTATCCAATCTTGCGACTCGGGCGAAACCACCGGCTTGGGTGGCCAATAACTCCCAGTTAGATGAAATATCAGAGCTTTGGGCTCATCCTTGGGTGTGATCGCTCAGAACCCAGCGATATACTATTGTGGCATCTAGTATTGGGTTCAGTTTTAGATCACTGGCTAGAAAATGAAGTCGATGGTATATCGAGTTTCAACTCAGCATCACACCCAATGAATGTCCCTTCTTTCAATGGTGGTTCATCTTACATACATGTTTACCATGTATAATGTTTCTCTAGCCACCCCCGCATGTGTGATGCGGGGGAATTCTTATGCTCAGGATATTGATATTTATCCCGGATTGAAACATTCGTTGCAGAGTGCCCAGACTCTAAGCGAAATGTATCTTTGGGCTCCATTAACCGCATTTTTGCAGCCATCGAAGCGGGGGATATGAAATTCAAGGGTCTGAAGGGTATAAATAGTCTAGACAAATTCCCTCTTTTTGTGCCTTTCTTTCTCTCTCTCAGACTGATGGGTAGTAATTGAGGTAATACTCCCTTTATCCATCGTTTTCTATTTTCATATATTAACTAATTCGTTGTAAGAATAGCAGATTCGGACAATCTACAATCTCGCGGCCTAATCGTACAAAAGCGCAATTTCCTCAACCCTGACAGACATAAAGTATCCAGGATGGTTGGTAGCAACACCCGGGAAGTACACATTATTTGAAACATGACTTGCTAATGCTGCTCAGAAACTATCCGGAGCAGCCGTTCTCGCCCTTCTTGCGTCTTCTACAACAGCTGCGAGCTGGAACTGCCACGCCTCGGGCGGTGGTGGCCACCAAACGCTGTTACAGCTCCACGGCCAGTTCAACAGGCTATTTGGAAACTCGAAACTCCATATCGCAGCTGACCAATGCTATTACGCTAAATGCAACAGGCACTACTTTGGAGTTTGCAACCGCGCCTCGTACACTAAATGGGAGAAATCAGGGGACCGGAATGTTGCGAAGAATGCCAATCCTGGAGGAGGTTCTGCGTGCGCAATATCTCCGAGTCCCGTTCAAGAACCCTACCTAGTCTATATTTTCAGTCATGAAAAAGACATTTCTATCGGCGGCAGAAAGAACGACATCAGGTATTGCTAAGTTTGATCGCATGCCAATTGACCACTCGACTGTCGGCTTAGAAGAACTTTGCTACCTACTAGCAGGCGGTGTCTTCACTTTATACACTTGTATCTACTATATCTGTTGTTGGATGAATATAAGGATAAATAAAGCACCGTTTACTGCTTGTTTCAGTGGGTGGGGCGTGTTTTCTAGTCTGATTAGTGAAAACATTCCCGAGAGACCTCCAGGCTTCAGATTCACGAGGTCAAGCATGTTTATTTATCGTTCATTCATTCATTTATTCTATTTGCCGTTTTATTTATATATTTTCTTCCGTTCGCAAAGTCCCCTACTATGAGCAATTTCGTGGACATCATTGCATTTTCTTCATAGGGAAATTGAAAATACTTAAATCCTTGTGCAGACCGTTAAGGGAACATCTTTCCAAATGATTTCACTTACGTCAACGAACCCAACTCATAAATACATACAGGCGCTCCCAGCAGGACTCCACCAGCCCCTTCAGATCCCCCAGAGGGAAAATACACACATCTCCATGTCTCCCTCTCATATGCCTGTTCAAGTTGCCTTTCCTCATCTCTTTACCCTTTCCAGTTGAATGCTTACACTCCGTAACCGGGCAATGCAGCGGCGTGAAATCTAGGGCTGACTCAGAATGCTTCGATTTGAGGTGCTGGTGAGATCCTTGCGGAATCGAAATGCCCCTTTGCATTCTTCTTTCCCCACAATCATACGTTCACATTTGTATGGAAGCGTATGCCTTTCCATATGGTTACAGCATACGGGGAACCAGTTAGAAAAATACAATATCTCCTTGTAGTGATTTATGTGTATATGGCACACTAGAAATACAAGCAGCTAGGGCATGGCAATAGCTTACTTCAGTTTGTGTATCTTCCAAAAGGTAGCTGAGCACTCGGAACATCTGTGAGTAGCTATTCCTGGAGCATGACTAGGTGGTTTAGACGGTGGAAGCACCTTGCACAGTGAGCCTGGAGGACTATGCATATCGGTGCCGGTATTTTCGTCCGAATAAATCACACTTTCTGCGCCGTGACCCCTGACGGATCCTGCTCCTCTGTAATCACAGCCATCGACCACCCTTTCTCAAATCTGTCTCGGCTTTGGTTCTCATCCCAAGGGCCCGCTGGTGTTGCGATATCGGCCCCGGGTTACGAACATCTAACAAACGTGGTTCGATGATACGGATGTGAAATCAACAGCGCTGCTACGTTCATCTTTGAAAGATTGCCAACGCCATACCATTCATAACTAAGTTACACTTAACCTACTTACGAAAACTAAGCTGACCTTCCTTCCCTTTATCCAGTTCAGCCCTCTCTCCATTAGCAATATGCCAATGAGCCAGGTCTCTCGCCGCAAGCGCATCCTCTAGGCTATCGTGGCCTTTCTTGTCTGCATTTTGGATATCCCGCCCCAGTCTCACTCTAGCTAGTGTCTTGAGCGACAAGCTGCCACTCCCTTTATTTCTCTTCTTCCGCGGTTCCTGTTCAGCCTTTCCAGGGGCGTCGTCGGGTTTCGCCTTGGGATTCGATGACTCCTTTTGTACTGTACTACCTTTCACCTCTTCCGACTCTTCGCCCTCATGTAATTCGTGTTCATGTTCATGTTCATGTTCATTTCCCGCAGATTCTCCAGCCAGGAGTAACAGCTCATCTGCCTCAACAGGTACTTTCCCGTCTTTAGTCTTATCAGCATCTTTCTTAGATTCGCAATTCTTTTTCTTTTCCAGTAGGTCTTCGATAATATACGTGTCCACGACAGCAGTATGGATCCACCTCAACGACTCTAAGTCATTATGGGCCGAATGCCCAACAACAACAGTCTCAGGTCCAACGTATCTCCACACGGCGAATCGAGCATTGTCTCTTCCCATAATACAACTCCCAGCCCTTTTTGCAGCTTCCATGTCTCGCCTACTGACACCAGAGAATCGCGTCCTGTAGTGCTCCATTTTCACGCTCGGATACACGAGGCTATCAATGAGCACGGCCGACGAGAAGTAATCTATTAGCGTAATCCGGATGAGCTCGGAATCTCCAGACGCTGCCTGGCCCATTTCACAGTCAATGGCAACCGCCGCACGGATATCAGGAGTGTGCATAATTGGTTGCCGTGGAGTCGGGTGAAACTGCCAGAGTCTCGTCATATCTCCTGCGCGATAGAAGCGAACGTGATGCTGCTCAGCACCGCCGCAAGGATCTGAAGCGATTGGCTGACCACAGCATGACCATATCTAGATGAATGTACCCATGAGATTTGTGTTTTACCAGTTGATCGGATCCAAATAGGAATTATTGTTACAGGCAGTGACTTTTATTTTTGAGGTAAGAGAATATGCCAATAAATACCTTTTTATTCCTATTCCACGTCGGTGTACCTGGATGGAACTTGCAGCGAAACACTTTCGTTTTCGGTGTTTGCTTAGTATCATCATCATTCTTGCATTTGCCGTCAACTTTCTCCTTCTGTGATAAGGTCTTTTCTTTGTTTGCATCAAGGTCTGATTTACTTGGGCGATCCATGGAATTCTTGCGCTTCTCCTTCCGCTGCCTCCTCTCTTGCGAGCGTAAATATTTCCCCATTGCTATCTATTGTCAGCTCCATGGACCATATATGAGGATGATGTGGGCAATCAAGAAGGATGAAAGGAAAGAAAAGACAAATAAAGCCGGAGGAAGCCCCTTACACATGCCGCACCCACTGCATCTTTTCTTCAATTCCAAGTCCTCCATGGACAGAGGATTGAGAACATACCCAGCCTGCCGAAGGCTATCTAGATTGGCAACGAGCGAATTCAGTTGGAACATATATTCAGGAGTTGCTTCGAGGATACTACGAGCCCCCTCTTGCATTTGTTCCACGGCAACGATCTGCCTCATGATCAGGGATGAACCGCCACGCGTGGGTGTCGTGTGGCGCAACCTTCCAGAGGTTGATAATGGTTGATGAGGTGGCTGCTCACTTCGATTGTGCTGCTCTTGATTTAGCCGTATCGCTAGACGAACCGACGCAGGATGTGTCTGTGCTGAAATGGGTATCGATGGCGGGAAATGTGTATTCAGTTGTTCTCCTTTGGGTTGCTCTAGCTCTTGATCCATGAGGTTTGATTCGTTGCTGGGTTTGTTCCAATTTCGGTCATTGGTTCTTTCTGTTGGGGAGAGAAGGTTAGGAGGGTGCTGAGCCGCTCCAGGGCTATTATTTGATGCTAGTAAGTTTATATTTTCACGATTTGGTATATTTTTGCCCTTCCTGAAGGATCTCCGGGAGTGAGCGTGGGGTTTTGTTTGAGTGGAGATCGATGGTGGAAGCGATGATGGGGATGAGGACTGCATTGTCCTTTCCTGCCCTTCATGGCGTCCCGGTCCCGTTCTTGCTTTGGGATCCGGCGGATTCATTGTGAAAAATCACGCTTTAGTAATTATCTGGATTGCAAAAGTTAGCGGCGTCGGTAGCAGTTAAAGCAAACCACAGCTTACACAATTATCTCGCTTTCATTGACAAACACCCCAGTGCTCTCCAGCAAGGCAGCAGGGAAACCCACTCCGAATCAGCGGGGTAAACAGGCTTAAACAATATATGCATGTATATGGAGTGTGTACATAAAACCCGATAATTTCCCTCTTGGATTCGAAGGCAAATAGGCGGGGAAACCAGGATGAGGAGGACGTCCTTCCCAGCACCTTATATACCACGAGTAAATATCGAAACGGAACTGCAACAACACCCCCTCACATAAACACAGTTTGAGGCCTGCCACGCAATTGCTGCAAGGCTGGTACAATTCCTTACTTCATGGATTGCAGATGCGCCAATCAAACGGAGCCCAACCCAACAGTTGGGAACACGGAAAGGCAGCGCCAGGGCCAATCACCAGATTCCTTAACTTCTAGCACTTAATTTCAGCGAATAGCTTTGATTTTGTCATTGATTCAGTCAGTTAATTATGCGTGCTCTATGAGTCATTTCCGCCTTGTGGATACGTTGTGTGGAAGAGGGAGAATGAGGGGGGGAAACCCGTAACAGAAGTGGAATTAAACCAGTAATAAGATCGAGAGATGAAGTGCATTTGACTCAATTCTTAGCCACACGACTCCAGATGAGTTCATGGAGCATGCATGCATATGAGGCCTGCAACATGTGCGACGCCTTCCCCGTCTTTGTGCTTTTGGCTTCCCGTTTGCTCTATTGAACTCTTGTTAGTAAAAATGGCCCAGCCATAAGGACATTCTGTGGGAATCCGATCAAGATGAAAATGAAACGGCACATATGTTCAGCATTGAGATGAGAAGATACAGAGGACAAGAGAGGAGTTATCAATCACTATAAATAAATAACCACCACCTTGACTTGGAGTATCGCAGACATACTAGATATCGAGCACTCACCTATTGCGCTAGAAACAGGCATACAGGAGCTAAAGGAGCTGCCATTCGCCTTCCACACCGCACAGAGTTATCTCACTGTCTGTCTATCTCACTGTCATTGATATTCCTGCGTCAAAAATACCCGGCCTGCATCCGGCCTGCTGAGTCAGCCACCCGGTCTTGGCGGCCAAACATCGCCAGCTTCCAATCCCAACAACAACCACAACCACAACCACAACCACAACCACAATCCACAATCCACAGTGCAATTGCTCTCCTCCCCTCTTGTCCGCCCCCGCCCGTCCTCTGTCGCTGCGGATATCTTGTCTCTATTGTGTTGGTGCCCCTCCGCTCCCTTCCTGTCAACCCTCGAGTAGTCATGTTCCGCCCCGTGATCCCTCGTCTTGCCGCTGGCCGGACAGTTACCCGACCATTCCCACAATCACAAATATCGCCCGCCTCAGCTCCCCTCTCCGGTACCTATATCCTTAGATATTCCAGAAGAGGCTATGCTACGAGCTCAGGTGAGGAGACCTCTATCAGCGTTGTCAATTGCGCAGCAGCAGTCCATGAAAATCAACCGCTGACATCATCATGCTCATGGCCTTCTCAATTACAGATGAACATGATGTGGTTATAATAGGCGGCGGTGTTGCTGGTTATGTAGCTGCGATAAAAGCTGGCCAGGAGGGTCTAAAGGTATTGATTCCCCAGTGGATTTATGATTCGTGTTGAAACTGATTTCCTCTTCTTTTTTCACCTCGTTTTTTCTTTTTTTTCCCTCTGCATATCGAGTCCTCGCTTACCATCGGGTAGACTGTTTGCATCGAGAAACGAGGGAAATTGGGCGGTACATGTTTGAACGTCGGATGTATCCCATCGAAGTCCCTTCTGAATAACTCTCACCTCTACCACCAAATCCTCCACGATACCAAAAAGCGTGGCATCGAAGTCGGAGATGTCAAGCTCAACCTCGAACAGATGATGAAGGCCAAGGAGTCCTCCGTCGACTCGCTTACAAAAGGCATTGAGTTCCTGCTTAAGAAAAACAAGGTCGACTATGTTAAGGGAGTCGGCTCATTCGTCGACCAGAACACTGTCAAGGTTGATCTGCTCGATGGCGGCGAGCAGGTTTTCAAGGGCAAGAATATCATCGTCGCTACTGGCAGTGAATCTACTCCGTTCCCTGGCTTGACTGTCGACGAGAAGCGCATCATCACAAGCACTGGAGCTCTATCACTAACACAAGTACCGAAGAAGATGGTTGTCATTGGTGGTGGAATCATTGGTCTGGAAATGGTATTGTCAAACCCCTCCCACTTCTCCGGGACTCGTGCGCTGGTTGGACTAAAGCGCACTGACACATAAATTAGGCCTCTGTATGGTCCCGATTGGGCGCAGAAGTTACCGTCGTCGAATTCTTAGGCCAAATCGGTGGCCCAGGAATGGATGCTGAGATCGCCAAGCAAGCCCAGAAGATCCTGGGGAGACAGGGTATCAAATTCCTTGTCAACACAAAAGTCACCTCCGGCGACCCCAGCGGCAAAAACGTCGTTCTGAATGTTGAAGCCGCAAAGGGCGGCAAAGAACAAACCCTGGAGGCTGACGTTGTGTTGGTCGCCATTGGCCGCAGACCGTACACAGAGGGTCTGGGCCTGGAGAAAGTGGGTCTCGAAGTCGACGAGAAGGGTCGTGTGGTCATCGACCAGGAGTACCGGACAAAAGCCCAGCACATCCGCGTCGTCGGGGACTGCACATTCGGGCCCATGCTCGCACACAAGGCTGAAGAGGAAGCCGTCGCGGCCGTCGAGTACATCAAGAAGGGCTACGGCCACGTCAACTACGCTGCCATCCCCAGCGTCATGTACACGCATCCCGAAGTAGCCTGGGTAGGCCAAAATGAAGCCGACGTCAAAGCCGCCGGCATCAAGTACCGCGTCGGCACGTTCCCGTTCAGCGCCAACTCACGCGCCAAGACCAACCTGGAAACCGAGGGCCAGGTCAAGTTCATCGCAGACGCGGAGACGGATCGGATCCTGGGCGTGCATATCATCGGCGCCTGCGCGGGTGAGATGATTGCGGAGGCCACACTGGCTATCGAGTACGGCGCTAGCTGTGAAGATGTAGCGCGGACATGCCATGCGCACCCGACGCTTTCGGAGGCTTTCAAGGAGGCGGCTATGGCTACCTATTCGAAGGCTATTCACTTTTAGAGAGAAGAGAAAGAGGATGAGTTCTTGGTTCTTTCAGCTTTTGCCCTTTTACCTTGTCTTGTCTTTGCTTACACTTCCATACAAGGAATAAGAAAATTTTCCCGCTAAAATCGCATAAAATACCTCCCACCTGTATATGCAAATATCCCCGCCCTACGCTGATGTCAAATGTACCCTACCCCACCCAACTAACCTATGTATCTTGCTGCCGAATACACTGCGTTTTTGTTTCTGTCCGTTGGGAATGATTCTCCGAGTATTATTTTATATTTTATTTTGATTTTTTTTTTTTTATTTTTTCCTGTAAAATTTTTGTATGTGATAACAAACCTTTCCTTTTAAATCTATACTTTTGCTGCATTTGATACATGGCCATATTCATATAAACATCTATATACAAAATAAAATCTGGACCAGAAACAGCAACTCCTCATACAGCTTTTATTTGTTCCCCCATGGGCGTGAGTTACAGAAAATGAGCTGGAGCAATGTTGGTTTGCATTGGAGACATAAAGCCCAAATCTGGAAGTGTGAAAAAGCACGAACATCATCCCAAGGCCAAGGCAGATAGTTATGTATTGTTTGGATGTAAATTTTTCGCAATGACTTCAATAAATCATCCGCCGCACGCAGAAGCTTCTAATAATAAAACCCCCATAGCTATATCTCAAATCCCCTAAACGCCAACAGGAGGATCAAAGGAAGAAGCGAAAATCGGTGGTGGGAAAAGGAGGGAAACATGATACTACATTGTCACCCTAACCTAGCGCAGGTACACTACGTGCATCCAGCACGAACCCCGACGACGTAACAATCCGCTCCGCATAAGTCACACCAGGCGCACAAGGCTGTATCCAGTCTTCTAGCACAGCCATAAACACATCGCAGACGGCCTTGACCGCTTCGTCACGCAAGTTGGAGCAGCTTTCGATATAGACTGTCAAAAATTCACTTACGTTAGCCAGCCCATCCCTTTCATATCGTACCGTAGTGGACCTTTATGATATGAGGTACACCACGAACAAAGCCAGCAGCACAGGGGAGCATTGAGAAATTAACAGGACAGAACACAGCGTACGTACTCTTAATCTTCGGCTCCGTCCCGGACCCGCGTAATGTGAATCGAATCCCTCGCTCTGACCACACAGTCACCATCTGACTATTTGGATCAGCGGGTAGCTGCATGCCACCACCCTCACCACCAGCGCCAGAATCAAATCCAAACGTCACATCCCGCCAGCGCAATATGGGCAAACGCCCCACCATCCCCAACCGCTCCTGCACGCCCCCCTCCCCCAACCCCTTCTCCGCAACCTTCTCACGAACGCCCTCAAACAACTTCCGCGTAACCGCCACATCCGGCGACACGAAATACGTGTTCAAATTCTCAAAATACCCGTACCGCCCGTACAGCTGCTTCAGCTTTTCGTACGGTGTCAGCCCCTCGTTGACACGCCAGTGCGGCTCGGCTGCGGCGACGAAGACCATGGCGGCCGTTAGGCCATCTTTGTCATAGCTGATGGCGGGGAACATGTAGCCAAGGGCCTCTTCAAAGCCGAAGGGGACGGTGTAACCGTCACTGCTGTTCTTGTTCTGGTCGTCCTCACCGCTGGGTATGCGAGATTCGAGACGTCTGGCGACGTTGCCAAGCCATTTGAAGCCAGTGAGTGTTTCTTGAGCGTGGATGGATTCGGCGCGGGCGATTTTGGAGAGCATGCTTGTTGATACGGCGGTGGTGAGCATTGCTATCTTCTTTTGCGCATGTGGGGGTTTATTGGCTGTTTGTGAGTGTATAGTGTCCAGCATATAGGAGGCGAGGAGGATGCCGAGTTGGTCGCCGGTGAATTTTATCCAGTTGCCGCTGGTAGGAGGTGTTAAATACGGAAAATAATGGAAATAGGAGATAGGGAGTCAATAGATTGGTGAGAATATATTGAACGTACTTTACTTTCTCCGCCACAGAGAGTCTATCCGCATCCGGATCATTGGCGATGATCAGATCGTGACCCACAGCATCAGCGGTTTTCATGGCGAGATCTAAGGCGCCGCTTTCTTCTGGGTTTGGGAAGGCGACGGTTGGAAAGTCAGGGTCCGGTTCTTGCTGTTCGGCGACGACGGTTATTAAATCCTTCATCCCCAGCTGCTCACATAGCCGGGACATTAGGGAATGTCCAACGCCGTGTAATGGTGTATAGACGAAGGGTCTTGGAGGGCCCGATGACAGTTTTATGGAATTCTATGAGGGCTTTTGTTAAAGGTTGACAGAGGAAGGATATGAAAATGTGGAATGCCACGTACAATGAACCGAGTGACAGAGTCACAGTACATTTTCGCCGTATCCTTGTAGTAATCCAACGCTAGGTGTTTACTTTCATCCATTGCGTCCCAAGCGTTCGACCAAGGCTCCAGATTTTGTTCGATCAGATCCGCGATCTCCGCGTCCATGGGCGAATTTATCTGGCAACCGTTCGATGCGTATCTATACTCCCAGTTAGCAACCAATTACACATCTCGTGGGTATTCAAAAAAGGAGTATACAGAAAATTTCTAACACTTTATATCCTAACAATCCAGCACGCATATCAGTACTGCGTCATTCCTGACAACGTCAAGTAAGGATATCAACAAACCATTATCTCTTGCGGGGTTCTATAAACATATCCCGTCAGCAAAAGTACCTCGTCAACTCCTCACCCCAACCAGGAGACACTCACATGACTAGCCGTGACCATAACCCCCCACGCCTCCCGATTCTTCAACACGCCAAAGGGTACAAGCGGCGTTGGCCCAGCACTCCGATACCACAACACCCGAATCCCTTCAGCAGCAAACGCATTCGCAGCCAGCATGGCAAATTTCTTCGAGTTATGCCGTGCGTCGCGGCCAATTATCACCGAAGGCTGCGAGTGCTCCTGCTCCTGCGATTGTTGATGCGACCGTCTGATAAATTTGGCAAGGCCCTGTGAGGCTTGGATGACGGTGAGGGCATTCATCGATGAGAATCCGGCTTGCATACGGCCGCGCAGCCCAGCGGTACCGAATTCGATGCCTATGCATGTAAGTACAGAAGTAAAAATTTGCATGGGCGCTGGAAGATTTTCATTCATTGAAGTATTCGCCAACGCATTGCCCCAAAATACGAAATTAAAAATTAACGAAACATCGATATAAAGAGTAAATGTGGACATACGTTTCCGCAAGCGTTTCTCCAACTCATCTTCATTCTTCTCGTCGCGCAGTCTGATGATTTCGGCGCGAGTTTCAGGGTCCTAAATACGGTTATAACCCGTCAACCCACAACATAGAACGAGGCGTCGATTGAGAATATCCAGCAGAAATTACAATCAATAGGTGGCCAGTTTGTAGGGAGTGGCGGGGATGTCAAGGTGCGGGTTGATAACTGCCCAGGCCCAATCGGAATTAAAACGTACATGGTCCCAATCCAACCATTGATGGACTAGATCTGATAGCGGTACCTGCCTTTTCGCGTTAATAGGAGCTGGAGCATGTTATATCATGTTCGAACGACTTACTGCGGAGGAATCGTCCATTTAAAGATTAGATAGAGTTCTTGATTAAATATAATTAATCAATATTTTACGATAGACTTCAGATAGACACGAGAGCGTTTTTCTAACTGTGGTCGAAGTTAATTGCCTTTTATAACTAAACAACAGGACAATCCATGCAAATAGCTAGTTATAGCATCATAGCATCATCTCAAGCATGGGGTAGACATGGAAGTAATCGAATCAATGTTTGTTGAGGTTGGTCATGATAAGGGTGGGGTTCTTGCGCCACAGCCTGGTTTGTTGTCGGAGTTTAGCTTTGTTAGGCTTGCCCGATTGGCGTCATCGCTGGCGGTGCTCCGATCGGTTGGAACGCAGTTAGCTATGTGACGCTGAAATATTACTGATCCGATCAACATACAAGAAAGTGAGGGCTTTCCGCGTACAATTTGTGATTTAACCGTTGAGAAGAGTTTGACCACTCGTCCATCAAACGCATGCATATTTAATGCTTGCGGAAGCTGTTTTAATGTAACTGACAAGTAGTCAAAGAGGATGCGTGCTTTTAGACACATGAAGTTCCTGCGAGGACAACAGTCTCGTTTCTTCTATAAACGTTTATTAGCGATTTCAATTGCCTAGAAATGCATTAGGGAAGTGGCTAACTAGAGCGTTCAATATAACTAACCGTTGCAGTGCTGAATCAATTACTCAATGTCATTCCGCCTTGTGGAAAATAGGGATCACTGGGTTCTGATGGCTCTCTGGCCTCAACACCGCCCAGAATCACCGCAGCATTGGACACGGAGGAGCAGAGACAGGGAGAAGATGTATGTCGACGTCGTTTGCTGTCGTGAGAAGGAAGTCAGAAGCCAAAAGGGGTGGGTTTGACAGTGCATCACATGATTCTCCAGCCTTCAGCCTCCAACGTCCAAATCTCCAACATCCAACATTCCACTCCGCACGCTCCTCCGTTGATTCCTGGTCTGCGTTCCCCAATGGTGTCCGCCATTGCTGTCGCTCGCTTTGCCCTTCGTTATTTGCGCAGTGAAACCGGGATCCCCTTCTTCTGGAGCTCTTAGCCACCATTCATTCGGCGTCAGTCTGCTCCAGTCCTGTAACTATGGGCCCGCCGGCGAGCCCAAAACACTCAGCTCGTGGCAGACAAGACCGAATCCTCTCCCGGCGGGAGATCGAGGGCCTTATTGCAGATGGAAAGCACATCATCATTCTGGATGGGATGGTCCTCAAGGTGGATGCTTGGATCCCATTCCATCCTGGCGGATATAAATCTATCATGCATATGGTTGGGAGAGATGCTACGGATGAAGTTACGGCGTACGGTTATATAACCATTCCCCTTGCTTTGTTCCTTATTGTAAAATAAAATTGGGATTATTGGCTGTGGAAACTGACACTGGTTTAGTCTACATTCCCTTGAAGCTCGCCAGCGGATGAATTCGTATAAGATCGGCCGCATCGAAGGCCGCTGGATGAATTTCCTGCCCCCTATCCAGGGTGGGAAATTTCGCCCGTACAACAAGGATGGGCCCCATGCATCCTCCGATGAAGTTGGCGAGGATGATTCCTCGGAGCAGGGCCTCTCGGATCCTCCCTCGCCAATATTCGAACCCATTGAGAACACATCCAGACGCAGAGGGCCGGCATCCTCTGTCTCTTCTGTATCATCCGAATCTCCCAACTCCTCTCCTGATCCGAAACCAAACTCGAGGCCTCGTTTCCTAGATGCTCGCACCCGAGAGGAAATGCTTGTGGATCTGGCGAAATACCCACCCCTTGATGCCAAAACCCAGGATTTCATCGTCCAGAAATACCGCTCTCTCCACGACCAAATCAAAGCAGACGGCTTATATGACTGTGACTACTTTGCATACCTAATAGAATCAGTCCGCTATAGTCTCCTTGGAGGCTTGTTTCTTTATTTCCTCTGGCGTGGCTGGTACGCAACCTCCGCCGCGTTTCTCGGGGCCTTATGGCACCAGCTAGTTTTCACCGTCCATGACGCCGGTCACCTAGGCATAACCCACAGCTTCCACGTAGACACTGTCATCGGCATTCTCATCGCAGATTACATCGGTGGCCTAAGCATCGGGTGGTGGAAGCGCAACCACAACGTCCACCACATCGTCACCAACTCCCCCGAACACGACCCGGACATCGAACACATGCCCTTCTTTGCCATCTCTCACCGCTTTTTCGACAGTCTCCGCTCAACCTACTACGACCGCATAATGACCTACGACATCTTCTCCAAATTCCTCGTCCGCTACCAACACTTCCTCTACTACCCCATCCTGGTCTTCGGTCGCTTCAATCTCTACCGCCTGAGCTGGGAATACCTGCTAAGCGGCCAAGCACCGCGCAAGGGCGCCGCATGGTGGCACCGCTGGTTCGAGATAGTCGGCCACGTCGTCTTCTGGACCTGGTTCGGCTACGGTGTCCTCTACCGTAGCATCCCCGACTGGCCCAACCGACTCCTCTTCATCTTCATCAGCCACGCTATCACCATGCCCCTGCATGTGCAAATCACTCTTTCACACTTCGCCATGTCCACCGCCGACCTGGGCGTGAACGAGTCGTTCGCTCAAAAAATGTTGCGCACAACGATGGACGTGGACTGCCCGCAGTGGCTAGATTTCTTCCACGGCGGCCTCCAGTTCCAGGCCATCCATCACCTGTTCCCGCGCATGCCTAGGCATAACCTGCGCAAGGCGCAGAAGCTTGTTATGCAGTTTTGCAGAGAGGTTGAGATCCCCTATGCGATTTTTACCTTCCTGGATGGGAATAAGGAGGTTATTGGCCGGCTGGGGGAAGTGGCGGCGCAGGCGAGGTTGTTGGCTGAGTGTCAGAAAAGCATCGTTGCGGAGCAGGGGCTACATGCCCATGTTCATTAGCGCTTTAGTCGCTAGTTAATTCTTTCTGATACGATTTGGTGATATCTCTGAGCTTCTGCTTTTGGGCTGTGGAGGTTGAGTTTTCCTGTTGATCGTTCAATTTCGTTATGGTTGTAATTTCCAGTCAGCGTACGGGGTTTTCTTTTTCCGTTTTTTGTTTATGCTATAATATCTCTTTGTTCGTTGTTGCTCTGGGTTTGTCTTTTTCGCCCTTGTTGCTGTTCTTAAGGCGTGCTGCGTGCATTGCACATGTTACATACCCCTGTTCGCGCACATACATTAGAAGCTCCATTAGATGTTGGGTTGTTGCCGACGAGATATCCATACACACATGTATAGATACGACGCGGCGATTACATATATAACTTCATTCAGATTGACATACCGCCACAAATAGACCACATATACCCGCAATCTACCTATCGCATCAAAAAATTCCAATTCATATCCCTCCCCTCGCAATCTTTCTTGCTCTCTGATCTCGCCGATTGTGGTTTGCTCGACTACCTTTATTTGCATCCTTCCGCCGCCTCGCCATCGCAGTCTCCCGCTCCCCAGAAGGGCCCGCCACATTCCCACCGCTACCACTATCACCACCACCTCTACCATGCCCAATCCCTCTCCTTCCCCGTCCTCTCCCACTTCCCCCACGGCCCCTTCCACCACCATCCGGCTCCTCCTCCGCCTCCCCTTCCGTCCCCGTCCCCGTCCCCGACTCCCACTGACGTCTCCTATATGCCGTCGCCGGCAACTCCGGCTGCCGATTCACACCCCCACCGCCAGCGCCAAGCATAAAACTCCGCTCCATCCGCGCCAGCCGCCTCGGGTCGCGCGCCAACATCACCGCCCACCCCTCAATTGCCTCATCGGTCATCCCCGTCGCCTCGCGCAACTTCGCACGCGGCGCTGAGCGGCGCGTACCGGAGTCGCGGGCGAAGAGGGCAGGCGTCGCTGTGTAGTGGGTGTAGAGCGTTTGGTCGATGGGGTCCGCGTGTGCATGTGCAGCGGCCTCGGCGTCGGCGTCGATGTCGGCACCTGGAACGACAGCGTCGACGGTGCCGCCCACGTCGGCCATGTCGTATGTGTCGTCGCGCTCGTCGTCGTCGGAGTCAAAGGCGGCGAGTGCGGAGAGGATGGCGGCTTTGTTTGCCTTTGTGGGCCCTTCGGCGAGGAGGTCGTCGGCAGTTTGGTGCTGGCTTGCGCGGCCGTAGTGGAGGGATTTGGCCGCGGTGGTGTGGCGGGTTAGGTCTGCGTTGTCGAAGATATTTTTGCGCTGTGGGATGGTGGATTGTGGTGGAGGTTGTAGTGGGGATGGGGATAGGGAGGGAGACAGAGGCGGTGTGGGTTTGGGTGCTAGGTGGTCGTGAGAGGCTGGGGTTCCACGGGGTTGTTGAAGCTCTTCTGAAAGATTGAGGTCTCGGAGCTGAGGAGCTAGAGAATCCTCGAGAAGATGTGAGATGACCGTTTCGACGTTGTCGTCGTAATAGTCAAGGAGTTTGGCAATATATCCGGTCCCCAGGTGCGGGAAAAGATCTTGGACTTGAGTTATTAGAGCCATTTTATGAATGTGGATATCCAGGGAATGGCCGTGATCGCTGGTGTGGGCGTGAAGCCCGAGTCCGTCATCCGCACGACCCTTCCCTTTATCTTTTCTCCTTTTGACACGTTGGTACCGGCTGTGTAAGGCGGCACATTCAGTTTGATATGCGCGCAGCGAAGAAACGAGATTCTGCCCTCTTTTCTGGCTGGCGCCAACAAACAGTGCTCCCATCTTTCCTAGTAAATTGGTACTGCATATTATATCTGACAATAATGTTGGGTCCCTCTTCGTTCCCTTCGCATCCACTCTAGCGGCCGATTTCAGACTAAATAGCTGATCCAGGAGTAAAGACGTCGCGGGGGGGTCTACTTTCAGCAGTGACGCAAAACCCACGTAGGCATTAGCCACAATAGTCTTCTTAAGATTTTCGAGATTTCCGTTCATGCTGCAATGATTTTTATACGCATCAAACAGCGTATCAATGTAATCTGAGCCAGTCATTAGAAGTAGACCGGCCTTGGGAACCGCCAATGCCAGGAAGGTGAGCGATCGCAGATATTTTTCTGCCCTCGCAGTGGTTTCCGCAACCATAGAAGCAGTTGATAGATCACTCATTACCAGCGCTTTCCCTTTCTCGATACTGACACTAAGAGACTGTGATTCTTGATCCCATAACTGAGCCAAGAGTGTCCTCGTCGCCGGGCTAGAAATATACCCCCGGCAAAATAATGCAAGGAATTCCCAATCCAGAAGCTCAGAAGGCGGCGGATGAACCTCTAGCATCAGCCTCCTTGTAAGGAGAAAACATAGTCGTCTTAGGGTTTTCAATTTTGTATCGGCACCAAGACCATCCCCTATTACCGCTTCCTGGAGGAAAGAAGCTAGGAATCTGCGCGATGAGTCATCTTTGGCAACTGACGATTGAAACACGTCTTTGGGTATCTCCAAACGTAACTCAAGCAGAGCTATCCAGGCGTCTAGACATGCGCCCCATTCCTCACTGTGGAGGAGGCTTCGGACAGTTGCAGGGGGGAATGGGGCCAGCGGGGGAAGTGGAGTGTGCTCCATGGTGCAATTGTATGCATTTCCTTGCTCCTCCTTTCTTTGGCAACGATGCGTCCGTGTCTGCCAGGCACACGCAGAAAAGAGGAGAAAGGAGATCCCCCAAGGGAGGGAATAAAATAAGTATCTCGTGCAATCCCGTCTCTATTGCTGTGGCCGCAAATATAAAATCGGGAGTTGAGAACGATAGGAGATTAGTCAGCACGGGCACCCTTATCTAAGCGAACGCCAAGACTTCCGCCCACAATCGCCCGCTTATCAAAAATCCATCCCAAGTTCTGTTTCGGCGAACAACTTCTCACGGTCAAACACAAATCCTTTCCCCACGAAGCATCAGCCTTTCATCACCTTACCGAACTTCCATTGTTCAGGTCTTGATTGGCATCCCGCCGATAAGTCACCGTACGTCAATTGCCTCCCGACCTTCCTCCAGTATCCCAACAGACGCCCCAAGTCGACACACAAGCTAACATGTAACAATGATATAGAATTCATCACCATGTCGTTCCAAAAGCCCGAGAAGGACTTCGGCGAAGGCCCCGTACGTGTTCCCATCTCTATTCCCGTGTGCGATATATACCTCCATTTTTGTCATTTGATTCACAACCCTGCGTCTTTTCAAATTAGCACTCTGCAAACGCACCAAACTAACGCCGTGATGGCCACAACAGAAAATCCACAAGATCCGCATCACCCTTACCTCGCGCAAGGTCGCCTCGCTCGAGAAAGTGTGCCAGGAGCTCATTGACCGCGCACGCAGCAAATCGCTCAATGTTAAAGGCCCAGTCAGACTCCCCACCAAGACCCTGAAGATCTCCACCCGCAAGACCCCCAACGGCGAGGGAAGCAAGACCTGGGATATGTACGAGATGCGCATCCACAAGCGATTGATTGAGTGAGTTGCATTTCCTTTATGCATTGGCTGGTGTTTGTTATTTTTTCTCTTTTTTTCCAAAGCTGTAGGAAATTCGTGAACCAGGAACGTAATAGAAGGGCTGACGAATGCGGTTTTTCGAAAACAGTCTGCACGCCCCTACCGAGACCGTTAAGCAGATCATCATCAACATCGAGGCTGGTGTTGAGGTTGAGGTTACCATTGCCGCATAGAAGCAGTTTTTCCTCCTCATGCGGCTTCTTCTCTATCCCGTAAAAGGGATGGCGAATTGACTGGTTGATGCGCGTGGATTACCGGGGGTACGATATGCTGCGGGTTAAAAAATATTTTTGTTACCAGGTATCTTTTCTCGGAAGGGATGCGGGTTCTGGTATAAAAAGAATAAAGCTAGGACGACATTTACTGACTGTCTGGATCCGAGAATATTCACTATTCACTTGGGCGAACGGAGGTGGAGTGCGTCTGTTGCTCTCAATGTATATACACAACCCTGGTAATCCGGAATGGAAGAGAACGGAAAGAAAAGCGATCAAATATGAAAATTACATGCTTCCCGGATAGTATTTTTTTCATTCTTGGTTCTGCATCACGGATGCTTTCGTAATATCTGATGATCTGGAGAACCCAGTCAGATATATTGAAAACGGCAGGGAACTCCCCAGTTCATCCAAATTAACGCCATAGCAATCACCCGCATCTATAAACTATTCACCGGATATTGAGTACATAAATCCACGTCTATCTACAGTCAATAATTTGGCAAGTGAGGAAGAAGCAAAAAGGTATCCAACAGACCCGAACAAAAGAATCAATACATGAACAGGAAGTGGGGAATCGCAAAACCCATCACGCCCTTTCAACCAGTAGAAAAGCCGTCCCAAAATTAAAATTAAATACACAATCCTACAAAAAAACCCATCCCCTCCTCCAATTTACAAATCAAACCCACACCACTCCACCCTAGGAGGCACGTCCGGCACTTTCACTTTCATGTTGGACGCCTCTCCACCCCCAATGCCAAACCCCCCATGCTCCCTCACAAACCTATAAATCGCCTCGGTCTCCGCCGTATACTCCTCTGTCTTTGCCTCTGCATCCCTCAGCGTCTCCGGCTTTGGAGGGCCATCGGGGAAATATATACGCACAAAGGTCCCCGCGTCATTCGGATGCTGGTAGCAAGGTTCGTTGTCAATGTATTTTACTGCCTGGCCCTTCCAGGAAAGGAGGCGATTGGTTCCTGGGTCGCGTCGGGTTTCGCCGTGGAGGACTGGGAAGGGGTTGAGGTGTGGTTTGGCTTTTTGGGGGAGTGTGGCGGTGGTGGAGGTGGGTGGAGGTGCTGTGGAGAACGGACTTTGTTGGTTTGTGGGCTGGACAGGGGTTTTCGAGGCGAAGGGGGAAAGGGAAGGTTGGCCGGCTGTGGATGCATTCTGAGATTGGGGTGTACTGAAGGGATTTGGTGTCTGTTGCTGCGTCTGCGGCTGCTGGTGCGGTTGGCCGAATGGATTTTGTTGTGGTGGCTGTGGTTGACCGAATGGCTGGCCAAATGGGTTGGGTTGCTGTTGCTGGTTCGGCTGTTTGATCTGCGCGAAAGGGGAAGAGCCTGTATTTGAGTTGCCGAAAGGATTGGCCTGCGTTTGTGTAGCCTGCGAAAATGGTGACTGGGCGAAAGGTGGTGGACCGGCAGGTTGCCCAAAGGGGTTGGGTTGTGCAGCGGCTCCCACGGTTGAGGGTTGGCCGAAGGGGGTAGGTTGACCAAATGAAGGCTTTCCGAATGTCGATTGCTGGCTGAATGGTGAAGGGGTTGCTGTCGACGGTCCCGTTGAAGCCTGTGCAAAAGGCGAAGACTGGCCGAAAGGCGTTGGTGAAGGGCCTGTTTTCCCTTCAATGATATCAATACGGTTTGGATGAGTGTTCTCGCCCTGTATGATATATCTGACCGCCCCTTCTATATCGTTAAGGATGGTTTGTATCTGGGCTTCTGTTTCAGCGTAGAGCTTCATTGCATCCTGCACTACCTGCTGGGCGTTTCCAGCTGCGGCGGCGGCATAATGTAACGCACGCATCTCTTCAAAACTCTGTTCCCGCTGAGGGCCTCCGAAGAGCTGTACGGGCGCATTCTTGCCTGGCCCGTAGCAGGTAAATATCCATTGCGGCCTACCCTTCCCGGGGGTAAGATCAGTTCTTATGTCATCGGGATTCAGCCCATACCTATATTTCGTAGCCGTCAGTAATTACTAGACGAACTATGGATTAGGCTGTGATATCATTGGAGGAACTCACTTGTTGTCCTTGATGATGTCTTTGGATCCACCTAAATCAACAATGATGTTAACATCGGGCATCTCCATGCTCCAAGTCCCACGTTGATGTAGATGTAGGTTGATATGCTGTGCTGTGGCTGCTAGAGCAGCTTGAAGCAGCCACGCAGCAATAATGAAGAAGGATCAAAACGAAAGAACAAATACGACGAAACATAACTCTCAGGGGTATTGGAGACAAAGGGATATCTCTTCTCCCTAAGAATTGACAATTGACAATCTCCCGCCCGACCAGGATTGAACCATGTCATCTTGGGCATCAACACTACCAAACATCCAACATCCCAGCTATGAGAGCCCAACGACATAGGCCAATATGATTTCCCATCAAAACGAGAAAGTCATCATAACAAAAGTGTTTCGTACCTCCAAATGCGCCGCTGCCACTGGCAGCACCCGCAAAACCTCCCCCAGCCAACACGCCAAACCGGTTTCCCCCTCCTCCAAATGGGGATGCGGACTGGGCTCCTGGGTGCTCATTCTTGCATCGATCTGATTATGTGGAGAATTAGCAATCGATGTCAGGCCGAGATAAAGAATAACACACCTACCGCCAAACTTGCATCGGCCCTGTTGGTAGAAGATGCAGACGGGCATAGCTTTCTTGCTCTGTCTATATCGCGGTCGCCACTGCTAAATATTTTCTGATAGGCGATTATGTTGCTCTATTTTCCCAGTGTTCCCTTCGTATAGCACCTGATTAAAGACTCTTTGCGTCTTTTGCGGAAATGGAAGCTTCACTATAGAGATCAAATCGAGGCGCGTCGAGTTTGCTCACTGTGGCGAAGTGAGTAACATAACTAGCCCAAAGATCTAAATTCTTCACGTTTTATTTATGTGTCGCACTCGGGGAGAGCAAATATGTGTATCAAAGCGCGTAGATGAAACTTATGAGATATATGAAAATTTTCTTCAAACATGATTCAAAATCACAGGAGACAGTCGCAACTGTGAGAGAATGCGATTGATTATCAAATTGTTGGCTCCGGTCAGGCCCACTAAAGTGCGGATTACCACTCACTAGTCTGAACATATTTATTGATATATTATCGCCTTGTAAGAACAATTCATCTATGAAAATCATTTTACTCCGTACAATTGATGATATTGCCTCTGGGATTATGACGATGCTAATCAGCTCGGCCGTTTTGTGCTAACTAAACATGAGAAGCAATGCAAATTGGTCACCGATTGGCGAGAGATTCAAACCAATATCGGACATTTAAATATTTGAAACTCCTTCTCGGCATAAAATATATATCAATCCCACCCTTTGCGCCGCTGAAATGCTAGGCTAAATATACAGCCACCAGTCATAACGTACCCTATCACCGTCTATCACCACCAACAAATGCCCCGACCGCCGCAGACCCCCCAAGCGCCGACGAGCTCATGCTCAAATTCTTCTTCAAATCATCCCAATTTAACCCCTCAATCTTCCTCCCCCCTAGCGCCTCCAAACCTCCTGCACTTAAATCCTGCAACCGCCCTGTCGCCACCCGGCGCATCATGACTGTATCCTTTGCCCCCGGTAAATGCCTCGCCTTCCCTGTCAACAGACAGTCCTCGAACCATCTTTCCTCCTCCGCATTGAATGGGAGATTGATAAGTTCCACTGCGCTCTTAGCACGGGTTTCGCCAGGTTTAGTAGCGGACAGAACGAAGACAATGAGTTGTTCGAGAAGGTCACGGTGGGAGGATGGGGAAGGTTGTTTGCGGCTGAAATAGAACGATTCTGTGATGTGGGTACGACAGAGAAGGGCGAAATACGCGTTTAGCGCTTTCGGTGTAGCAAGGGGCGGGGACACGGTAAGATAGTACGCTGTTGCGAGGCTGTCGTCATAATTTTCGTTGGGGAGTTGCTGGCTTTGCTGCTGCGCATGTTTTGGTTGGGTCGCGAGGACGTAGAGAATTTCGTCGGGGAAGGTGGGGAGTAGGCATGGCTCTGTTAAGTATTCTAGAGCTCTCTATATTATGAAATAATTAGCAATTAGGAGGTATCGTAAGCTGGATAAAGCCGGTCCTGATGGAATGCGACGAACCTTATACTCCAGTCTATCTAGGTGCCACAGGCCGTCGATGAATAATCTGTATTTCTCTGGTAGATAGCATCGCCGTGCGAACTGCAAACTGGAATCGCCACCGTTTGTGCTTCGGAGATCTCTGAGAATGTAATATATCAACGCCTGCTTGTGGTGGTTTGGTGAGGACGAAGAGACGATTTGCGAGTAGAGCGCGCGGAGGGCTTGGTTGGTTCTTGGGGGATACACTCGCGAAGCTGCGCCATAAAATATTAGAATATGTAACAGCGCAATTCTCAGGAAGCTGTTAGTTACCGGCATCAATATTAAGAGCTTTGAGGAGCCTGTCAACAAAGAGGATGTTCTCGAGAGCTCGTCTGTTGGCGATGATAAGGTCAACCGTTTTTGAGTCGTAGCTGGAATCGCGCTTGAAATAGAACGTGGCGTCGAACTCCTCCCAGGGCGCCATATTGGATATTGGATTATACCAGTATCAGTGTATACAGTCGTATTCTCCGATTCTCATTCCTCGTCCCAATCCAAGGTGAAGCTCCAAATCAAATAAAATAAACGACCTTTTTGGCCAAGATCGTATTATATAATCGAATCGCAGATCGTTTCCTGATTGAGTTAAATGTAAACATCAACACGAACGAGCCGCACGAACATCAAACATCCAACTTCAACTTCAGAACGACGACGACGACGACAATCATACATATATATACACACTAACCACAGAATCACCAGACACCATTTGCCATCTACCACATGCTACAATGACATCCGTGTCCGGTTCCAGGCCCTCACGGCGCGCTGCTGCTGCCCGCAAGAATTTTATCGTCGAAAGCTCGGAAGACGAAGCTGCCTCTACTGGACGTGCCACCCCCGCCCTATCAAGTCATGACGAGCAAGAACAGGAAGATGAGGAGGAGTTCACACCGGTTCCAAAGCGACCAGCTGCGAAGGGACCCGCGAGAAGGCGAACCACTGCCAATCTCTCGTCCGAAACCCCACAAACAGTTCGACAGGACAAAAGCAAACGAACACGGCGACCGAGAACAGGAGATGATATCGAACAGTCACAGCTTTTCGACATGGTAGATGAGTCCACGCTGCTAGCAGAAAACCCAGAGACACCATCCAAGAGGCCGACCGCATCTAGAAAACGCAGGATCCCCTCGCAGCAGCACCAAAGGCGCGAAAGCCGTATGTCATCTTCCGCATCTGCCCTGTCGTCCCTTCCAACTCCTGAATCTTCAGCTTCTCCAGAGCCCCAGCCATGCCCGCCCTCCCGCCGCCAGAGCGTTGCGCCATTAGCAGACATCACCGAGACTACTGTCAACGAGGCTACGCCAAGGCCTCAACCAGAGCAGGAAAGGTCTACAATCGAAATGATAAACCCCATGTCCACGACCCTAGAAAAGCCAATGGATATAGTTCTCAAGTCTCGATCGCTTGCTGTACCTACGGTTGAAGAGCCATCCGCGCCTAAGCCTCGAATGGTGATCACACACCTTGTGATGACGAATTTTAAGAGCTATGCGGGGCGCCAGGTCGTGGGGCCGTTTCACGTTTCTTTCTCCTCAGTCGTGGGCCCGAATGGATCTGGAAAGTCTAACGTTATCGACTCACTTCTTTTTGTCTTTGGCTTCAGAGCGAGCAAGATGCGGCAGGGAAAGATCTCTGCTCTTATACACAATTCTGCGAATTTTCCCGACCTCCAATTTTGCGAGGTTGAGGTGCACTTCCAGGAAATTTTGGATCTCCCCGACGGAGGACATGAAATTGTGCCGGAGTCACAGCTTATTGTATCCCGGAGAGCGTTCAAAAATAATTCCAGCAAATACTACATGAACAAAAAGGAGACTAATTTCACCACAGTTACGGGGTTTTTGAAAGACCGGGGAATCGATCTTGATCATAAGCGGTTTCTGATTCTACAGGGAGAGGTTGAGTCCATTGCTCAAATGAAACCGAAAGCTGCCAGTGAACATGATGATGGTCTGCTGGAGTACTTGGAGGATATCATTGGGACTTCTAAGTATAAGACTCCTATTGAAGAGGCTGCTGCTGAAGTGGAAGCTTTGAATGAAGTGTGTCTTGAGAAAAACAACCGCGTTCAGCATGTGGAAAAAGAAAAGCACAGTCTTGAGGATAAGAAGAACAAAGCGATCGCCTACATTAAAGATGAAAATGAACTGGCTGAGAAACAGTCGGCTCTCTATCAGATCTACATCGACGAATGCAACGACAATACGCGCGTGACCGAAGAGGCGATACTGCAAATGCAAGAATTGCTGAATATGGAGTTGGAGAACCACCAAGGCAGCGAAGATGCCATCAAACAACTCCAGCGATCCCACAAACGGGGCGCAAAGGAGTATGAAGCTATGGAGAAAGCCACGCAGGCGATGGTTAAAGAGATGGCTAAGTATGATAAGGAATCAGTGAAATTTGAAGAAAAACGCAAGTTTTTGCTAGGGAAGCAGAAGAAGCTTGAAAAAGCCATGCAATCAAGCCGTCTGGCTGGCTCCGAGTGTGCAAGTCTGGTTGAGAAACACACAGACGATATTGAGAGGAAGACTGCTGAAATCGCAGAGTTAGAGAAAGAAATGAAGCACGAGGAGAAGGAGCTTGCGGCTATTCGAGAAGGACTTAAGGGTAAGACACAGGGACTTTCGGACCAAATCGCTGTTAAGCAGAAGTCACTTGAGCCTTGGAATGAAAAAATCAATGAAAAACAATCCGCCGTTGCCGTCGCACAGAGTGAGCTTGATATTCTGCGGGAAAAGCGTAATGCAGGCGCCGTCGCCATGGACGAAGCAAACGCGAAGATCCAGTCTATTAAGGCTACCATATCCAGCAAAACAGCTGACCTGGAAACTCGCCGAGCGGAAAAGACAGAACTTGAAAATGAAGCCACTCTCCTTGAAACTGAATTAAAAAAATTCGGACAAAAGGAACCAGAGATTCGGTCGAGGATATCTAGCGCTCGCCAAAAAGCGGACGAAGCTCGTGCGAGCCTTGCCAGTACTCAAAACCAGGGCAACGTGCTTGCAGGCTTGATGCGGTTGAAGGAATCCGGGCGTATTGAAGGATTCCATGGAAGACTTGGCAATTTGGGGACTATCGATGAACAGTATGATGTCGCCATTTCAACTGCCTGCCCAGCCCTTGAGAACCTGGTGGTGGATTCCGTTGAAGTGGGTCAACAATGTATCGACTACCTGCGCAAGAATAACCTAGGAAGAGCGAACTTCATCCTCCTCGACCGACTACCTCAGAGAGATATGTCCTCCGTCTTTACACCAGATAGTGTGCCACGATTATTCGATCTTGTCAAACCCATAGACCCCAAGTTTCGACCAGCCTTTTACAGTGTTTTACAAAATACGCTTGTCGCAAAGGACCTTGAACATGCTAACAAAATCGCCTACGGCCCGAGAAGATGGCGTGTTGTTACATTGGACGGACAGCTTATCGATGTATCTGGGACTATGAGTGGTGGCGGCACCCGTGTTGCCAGGGGTGGCATGTCCTCAAAGCCTGTTGCCGAAGTCTCGAAGGAGCAGGTCATGAAACTCGAGGCTGATCGTGATGAGATTGAAAGGAAGTTCCAAGCCTTCCAAGACAAACAGCGGCAGATAGAAACGTCAATAAAGGCGAAGAGAGATGAAATCCCGAAACTGGAGACAACGATTCAGAGGATCCAACTTGAGATTGAGAGTTCAAACAAGAATTTGGCGGATGCGCAGCGACGTGTTCAGGAATTGTCGGCAGAACATAAGCCTTCGAAGAGCGATGATTCCAGATCCGCCGCTCTTGAAAAACACATCTCGTCCTTAGAAAAGGAAATTGAGAAGCTTCATACAGAGACTGCGGGAGTTGAAGAGGAAATCCAAGCCCTCCAAAACAAGATTATGGAGATTGGTGGTGTCAGGCTCCGGGGTCAAAAGGCTAAAGTTGATGGTCTCAAGGAACAGATCGATCTTCTCACGGAGGACGTGTCAAATGCTGAAGTTTCCAAGTCTAAAAACGAGAAGTTGCGCATCAAGCATGAAAAGTCTCGTGCCGATGCGGAGGGTGAACTTGAGCAGGTGAAAAAAGACCTTGAGAAATTGAATCAGGACATTGAGAGTCAGGAAAATGATGTCTATGGGACGAAGCAGAAGACAGAGGAGGCTCAAGAGGTTAGTTGGATGCGTCCGGGTTGAGGGAAACATAACTTTTGCTAACTTTTTCGTAGGCTTTGGAAACCAAAAAAGAGGAGCTCGCCACATTAAAAGCGGAGCTGGATAAGAAGGTAGCTGAACTGAATGAAACGCGTGCTTCTGAAATCGAAATGAAGAACAAACTAGAGGAGAATCAAAAGGTTCTTGCCGAAAATCAAAAACGCTGTCGATACTGGGAAGAAAAGCTAGCCAAGCTATCTCTTCAAAATATCAGCGACCTAGGCGAAGAGCAGGAAGCTCAAAGCCTCCCAATATACACCAAGGATGAACTCACCGATATGAGCAAAGAATCGCTCAAAGCCGTCATCGCTGCTCTGGAGGAAAAGACCCAGAACGCCTCCGTTGACCTCTCCGTCCTGGGCGAATACCGCCGCCGCGTCGCTGAGCACGAGTCCCGCTCTGCCGACCTGGCCACTGCACTAGAAAGCCGTGACAATGCAAAGTCACGCCTTGATACTCTCCGCTCTCTCCGCCTAACAGGCTTTATGGAGGGATTCAGCACCATCTCGCTCCGGCTAAAGGAGATGTACCAAATGATTACGATGGGTGGTAATGCTGAGCTGGAGCTTGTGGATTCTCTTGATCCTTTCTCGGAAGGCATTTTGTTCTCAGTCATGCCACCTAAGAAGAGCTGGAAGAACATTGGTAATTTGTCCGGGGGGGAGAAAACGTTATCGAGTCTTGCGCTTGTGTTTGCGTTACATCATTACCGACCGACACCGTTGTACGTCATGGATGAGATTGATGCGGCGTTAGATTTTAGGAATGTAAGTTTGAAGCCGGAGAGTGTAGATGGATAATCTGTGCAGTTTACTTATTGATTTTATTCCTGTTGTCCAGGTCTCTATCGTCGCCTCATATATCAAAGAGCGAACGAAGAATGCTCAATTCATTGTTATCTCGTTGCGAAATAATATGGTATGTGTTGCTTCCCTTTCCTTTCTCCCTTCTTCTTATACCTTAAGCTTCTTGTCCCGTTGTTCCCGGAAATCTTTCTAATGCGCAAAACCCTTTAATCTAGTTCGAACTTGCATCTCGACTAGTCGGCGTCTATAAGGTTAACCACATGACCAAGAGCGTTACCGTTGAGAATAAGGATTATATCGCTCTGGCTAATTAGATAGGCGAGAAGTCTGTGGGGCCTAGCGTAAATTGTCAAGAATTTTATTTTTCATAAGGGATTTTTGCACATATGCCATATTTTTTGGTAGCTTATGGTTTGCGGTTGCGGTTGGGGTTGCATTGGCCGGATATGAATATATTTATGTTATGGGAAGAGGCAGGGTTTCCTTTGTCGTTCGAGCTTTTGGAATTGGAATACTTGGTCAGGGTGGACTTTCTATCTCCTTGCTTTGACGATGTCCCATTTTACTCTTTGTCTTGCGGACATAGTATGCTTGTTTACTTAGGCGTTTGGAGTGGTTGTTTTCAATATTGTTTTGTCTGTGATGGTATAAATAATGCTGCACCACCGTACACACCAAATGATTGATTGATATGCGGATGTTTTCTTTATTTCTTATACGGTGTTGTATTTTCTCTTCTTTCATTTGTTCGAAGTCAGTTCTGGCAAACATATATCCCTGATCAGAAACCCTTTTCAATTGACATCCCCTTGGTGTCCGAATCGATCGGATCGTCCTTTCGTCTTTGCCATTATCCAAAAAGGATTTTGTTTAAATAAACCTGTTTGTTAACATTCATTTGTGGAAGCTGTATATGCTACCTCTGCCAGGGAAGCAAGGTGAGCTGCAAGTTTTTGTTTGGAATCCAAATCTTATTTATCTTCCACACACGCGGACAAGGGCATGCCGATGGAACTTTGTATGGCTGTTCAGGCAGAGAGATTTACGAATGGGCGAAAATCGTTCGTGAGTGGCAACAGGCGATGCGAAATTCAGTTAACTGCTTCCGCTTGTTCACGTTGTGGAGTTGAGCTTGTTGGATGGCGAAATTGGTGGATGCGAAACATCTTAATATCCTAGCCGCTAATTTGGTGGGGGGGGGGGGGGGGG